GAGAATCTGCCCCTCACCCCAGGCTTCCAAAGATGGGGGGTCCAGTTAGTCACAGCTGAGTGGGGCGGTTGCCAAGTGTGAATTTGGGCTGCCGCTGAGTTACCGAGAACTAAGAAAGGCTGAGCTCTGTCTCCAGGTCCCCGACTCAGTCCTTCCCACCCAGCCTGCAACTTCCTCATGAAATCAACGCCAAATAAATATTTAAAGTGTTTTTCCCACGGATGATGCCCCTCCTTGTAATGTGTTAGGAAGGACTGGGCAGACAAGCCAGGAGGTGGGGTCTGGGTGAGGACATCCAAGAGAGGTCGGAGCACAGACACCCTGGGGGCGGCGGGCTGAGCCCCCTCCAAATCCAGAGAAGAGGCAGCATTATGTTTATGAGACACCCATGGTGAGTCTGTAGATTTCTTCCACGCATGACATATTCTTTCACTTTTTTTGATTTGTAGGCTCCCTTGATGTCTACACAGTATTAAAGGTCAGTCTACGGGAGCCACCCAGAGATTTGAGAATCCGTGTCCTGGGCCGAGGTCTCACTCCAGGTGGGGCCCTGTCGCGGTGGGAAGGAGAGGCCCTGCTGTGGTCAGCTCTCCTCACCCCGTCCCCGCCCCCAACACAGCAGTCACTCCAAGGTTTACATGCAGGACCTTGAGGCCCTTAAATATTGGGATATTTCACAAAAAAAATATGAATTCCGAGAACTAGGAAGATCTAGCAAATAAGGAACCCACATTCCTCACAGTAGCTACCCTTTGCCTCAGGACACTCCACAGGAAAGCACTTCCCAAGACTGGGGGGCCTCCATGGATCACCCCGCCTTGCACAGTTATGGTTATTTTCTTTATCCCCAACATATTTCACCCATTTGGATATTAGCATTTGTAAACCCTAATGGGGAACAAAGTCTTCTGCTTATATACAATGACCTGGGAGGGTGGTGTGAGCTGCTGGTCATGGTACAGACGTCCTGTGACCAGGTTCTGATTTAAAACATCACTCATGTTTGCAGGCTCACAAGCATTGCCAATCCCGCTGATGACGACCCGTGTGGAGAAACGTATTGGCTGAGTTGACGTCCCCTTGGGGATCTGAATTTTGCTGATACTGGGCTGTGGCCACCCAGCTCCTGGCTGGGCAGGGAGATGCCCAGGGGCCTGGACCTGGCAGACGCCCCAGCTCTGTGCCCTGTTCCCACGGAGAGAGGAAGTCACGGTGGTTGAGGTGAGAATAAGAGGACGGGCAGCCTGGGTGGGCAGAGGCAGCCACAGCAGCTGCAGCAGGCTGGTGCCAGGCCCAGATGCACACTTCACACCCTTTTTGCAAACATTGCTGTCATGTGCAGAAATACAGAAACGTGCAAAATCTGAGAGCAAGTGTTCAGGCGGCCTCCTGACTCAGCCCAGTCCAACCATGCACAACTTTCAGGCAACTGAGGGTTAAAAAAAAGTGTTTTGATCCACAGGTGGCTGTGGTTTGAGCAGGGGAGGGGGCAGGGGACTGAGGCATCCTTGTCTTGCTCTTGGCCTCAAGAGGAGAGGAGGCGGCAGCACTGGAGATGAAGTTGCACAGAAGCAAAGCCCAGGTTTGCTTTCCTATGGAGTGTCCCCCGCCTGCTTCCCACCCTTCCCTGCCACCCTCCCTCTCAGCCGGACAAGCTCATCAAGTCCCTGCTCATGCGAGCCGCGAAATCCCAGGGGTGTCTTGCCAGCTTCCACTGCCTCTCGGCCTGTCCTGCCCAGGGGTGGCCCGGAGGGGGCTGGACCTGAGGAGAGTGGGGATGCACCACAGGGCATCCGAGCCACCTCCTCTGCAGCCTCGGGCAGGTCTTTACACAGCTTGTGGGTGGGACGGCGGGTGGGCCGGCGCTGGGCAAGGGGCGTGCAGCGTGGGGCCCACTGTCCCCGGAACACAGAACAAGACTCCTCTCCTGAGCCCCAACCCACTCAGTGTCACCACCTGCGAGGTGGGGAGGCTGTGGTCCTCCTGCCTGAGGGTGGGGGGCGGGCATCATGATGCTCAAACCAGGCACCTCTCACCTGGAGCCCCCACAAGGGACGTGATAGCGATTCAGGATGTAGCTCTTCCCCCCACGCGCACAGAGAGGCTCCTGTTCCGGGCCCAGAAGTCCAATTCCAAGGCTAGGGTCTCAATGTTGCCCCTGGGGTGGAGCGGGTACCCCCTCAGTCCAGGCACAGCCCCCCACACAGCTGGGAGGGCTCAGGACTGGGGGTCTGGGAGCAGCACCGGCAGGTGCCCCCCGGAGGAGAGTGATGACCGGGTGTGAGTCACGTAGCTGTTCATCTCCAGGGTCAGAAGTGGGGGGTGGCTCCCTGCAAGTACTGCAACCATCAAAGGTGGGGTGCGGACCCTCGCCCCCTCCCCCACAGCGCTGACTTCTTGAGTAGGTCACTGATAACACCTGTGCCTGCCGGGCTCCTCTAGGGTCTTTAAGGCCCAATTAAAAACAAAGAATGTTCCAGGGTGAAATTGCGGACAGCTGTGAGTTCAGCGGCAGCTGGCGCTTGCCGAGCCCGCTCGAGCAGCCCCTCCGCCTTCCTGCTCAGCCCCCTCAGAGGGTGCTGGGAGACGGCTTTTCCCGAGCTCCCGGCTGTCGGGCTCCTGCAGGGCAGGCCAGGCGGCGCCCTCCTGGTTCTGTCTCTGGCTCCCCGAGTCGCCATCAGAACAACCTGGTTCAGGTCGCCCACAGCACGCCCACCAGGTTGGGGTAGGTCCGAACGCCGAGAAGGATGCGGCTCAGGCCACGCCTGGACGCCAGTGCCCAGCCCAGGCCAGCTCCCGCCGAGGCTCCGCTCTCCGCCTGCCCAGGTACCCGCCACCCCCGCTACCCTTGCGCCAGGCCCCGCCAGCCCCGCCATAGGAGTCTGGGAGGGGACAGCTCAGGTGGGCCCTGCCCGCCGCGTCTGCCTCTCACACCCAGGCCACGCCAGGGTGCCCCCACTGCTCAGGGTCCCCCACCCGGGCCTGGACCCCTGCACTCCCAGCCCCGCAGCCCTGGCCCCGCACCAGTAGTAGAACTCCACACAGCGCCCTCCTGGCACGATGAAGGGGTGTTCCGAGTAGATCAGAGAGAAGCGCTCGGGCTGGCTGCCCACCTCCGGCTTCACCTGGAGTCAGGAGACAGGGCAGGGGAGCTGGGCCCCTGGGGCTGGGGGCTGGAGGAGGCAGGGGCAGCGGCGGGTTTGGAGCCTGGCAGCCAGGACCCCAGTTCTGGCTCAGCCGTTGCTCAGCTGGGTGGCCTTGGTCAAGGCCTGGGCTGCTCCCCGCCACGGCGGCCTCTGGGGTCCCCCACACAGCGCCACAGTGAGTGGAGGCCCCACACCCAGCCTGCCTGGCAGGGCCTCACCCGCCAGCCACCACAGTGGGACCCAGGTGGGAGCCCTTTACCTCCACCCACCCCCATCGCCACCCCCACCCCAGGCCAGAGACTCAGGGTCCCCATTCTCTGCCCAGGGGTGGCTGAAACCCCAGCCCTCTCCCAGTGGGGCAGACATGGAGCCAGCGCACCAAGGGGCACCATGGTGGCACAGAGGAGGGCGGAGGCGTGTCCATGCCAGGCATTGCTGCCCTGCGTGCCCTCTCCGGCCCAGCGTGGGTTCAGTGGGGCAGGGTCAGCCTGTTGGTGACCCAGAGAGGAGCAGAGGGCCGGGCCCCGGGGGTCCCGCCGGCCCTGGGCGAGGCAGCAGCGCAGCTAGCAAAGGAGCTGGGAGGGCCCTCTGTGCCAGGGAGTGCCAGCGCCCTGGGGCCGGGCGGGAGGACGGGGCAGGTGTTCCTGGGCAGCCCCAGGCAGACCGCTGCCCTCTCTGAGCCTCGGGCCTGGGACAGACCGCGCCTCAGTGCCGAGCTGAGCACGGGGCTCTGTGGCAGCTGCTGTGCCGGCTGCTCCTGAGCGGAGACCTGGCCTGGGAGGCGCGGGGAAGAGTCAGCAGGGCAGAGAGCGACTCCCGCTGGCGTGAGGGGCAGACCAGGAGGTGACAGACCAGGCTGGGGAAGGATCCAGGGAGCTGAGGGGTTGGAAGGAGATACGCCCCTCCTCCCTCATGTTCTTCCTAGAGTGCTTCTAGGGCCCAAGTGCCAGACCCTGGTCACTCAGCCTGAAGGCAGTACCACTCTAGGGAACACCTCCCAGGCTGAGAAGTGCAGAAAACTGCGGGAGCAGCGCCTGGCTGCCATGCAGGCTGCCCTGTGGGATGAGAAATGTGCCTGGTTTGACTATGACCTTGACACTGGAAAGAACACAGAGGTTTTTTTTTTTTTTCCAAAGATTTATTTATGCATACAAGAACTGGGGTACAGGCCAGAGGAGTGGGGGGGAGAGAGGATTCACCAGAGACAGAGTGGGGAGCAGAACAGGCAGATCTACTGAAAAAAAAAAAAAAAAAAAAACTGCTGAGGGGAGCAGCAGGCGAGACAGGAGAGGTCAGTTGCGCCATGTGGGTTGTTCCCTGGCTGGCCTGGGGGATGGAACTCGTGCTGCAGAGGCTGCGGAAATAGCTTCATAGTGTTGCATCTTAACCCCTTGTGCTGCCAGGGAGGCCCAAGAACACAGAGTTCTACCCAACCAACCTCGCTCCTCTCTGGGCCGGCTGCTTCTCAGACCCAGAGGCCCCAGACAAGGCTCTGAAATACCTGGAGGTGAGGGCACAGTGGGGCGGGGCTGCTCCCCAGGGACAGGCCCACTGCTCTCTGCCTGACTGAGCAGGGACCCCTGGACAGGGGCAGCCCCGCCCCACTGCTGCTCCCTGGTCTTGGCCTGGATGCCCCACTGGCGCCAGCAGGGGGCAGCTGTGGGCAAGAAGAGCGGGCCCAGCCAGGGCAGCATCTGGCTTCAGGGGGCTCAGCAGCCTGGGTCCCCGTGCCAGCCTGCGCTCAGTCACAGTATTGTCTGCCACCTTCTAGGCCAAGCAGATTCTGAAGTACAAGCGTGGCATCCCGTCCTCTCTCAAGAACTCAGGCCAGCAGTGGGACCTCCCCAATGCCTGGGCGCCCCTGCAGGACCTGGTCATCAGAGGTAGGCAGGCGGGGACGGGGCCCACCCCAGGGCCTAGCCCCACAGGTGACGGTGAGGAGGGCGGAGGCAGGGGCCTCTCTGGCTCCTCTGCCGTCTCAGCCCCCTCGCAGCAAGCGTTCATGCCACCCGCCTGCTTCCCTCCCCCTTCCCGAGCCCTGGACTAAGAGCAGGCTGGCCTCGGGCTCCAGGCAGGAGGCCGTAGGCCCCAGGCCTCTGTCCCCCCTGGAGAGAGGAAGGCTCAGGCCTCGGCTTCCCCTGGGATGGGGGCTCTGGAGATTCAGGGCTGTGTCTGGGGCGGGGGTCCAGGTCTGGCCAAGTCTCGTTCACCTCGGACCCGGGAGGTGGCTTTCCAGCTGGCCCAGAACTGGATCCGCACCAACTTTGACGTCTACGCCAAAACGTCAGCCATGTATGAGAAGGTGAGCCGAGCGCAGTCAGGGGGTTCCTCCCGGTGGTGAGATGGGGGGAGCGTCAGGCTTTGTGAAGCCCAGGCCGGCGCCGCAGCGGCACCTGGTGGCCATTCTTGGGCACTGCATGGATGCGCGCTGAGGCCTTTCCTTCCAGCTTCCCCAGAGGGCCGGGTCGTGGGGATGTAAAACTGGTGCAGTTGCTGTGGAGGACTGACTACCCCTTCCTCAGAAATTAAATATAGTTACCACATGGCCCAGCAAGTCTTCTGGCTATAGATGGAAAAGAATGAAAGCAGGGACTTGAACACCCGTGTTTGTAGCCGCATAGCCTCACTAGCCAAAGCGCCTCCTGGAAGCAACCCAAGGGGTCCATTGACAGGTGAATTAACAATGTGTATTCATGCAACCGAATGTTATAAACCTTTAAAAATATGGTATTCCGATGTACCTTGAAACAGTATGCTAAGCAAACTAAGCCAGACAGATAGTACCAATATGGCGTTTCTACTTATGTGAAGTACCTAGAATAGGTAAAGTCCTAGAGCCAGAAAGTAGGTTAGTGGCTAGTGGGGCACAGGGGCTGAGGAGTTATTGCTGGATGTCAGTGTATGTGCGGGATGATCTTTTAAAAGGTTTAGAAATAGGGCTCCCGGTGGCGCAGCGGGAGCGCTGGTTGCGAGCTGCCTCTGCGGCGCCGGTTCGATCCCCGGCTGCTGGCCACCGGAGGAGGGTCACATGGCGCGCAGAGCCGTGCTAAGTGTACTTCGTCCTTCTGTGCTCTGCTCCCCGCTCTGGCTCTGGTGAATAGCGCTGACTGTACCCAGTGCATGTATAAACATAAATAAGCATGCTCTATAAGGTTTAGAAATAGGTGATGGTGCTAGTGCCACAACATTGTGAATATAATGAAATTTCAATATAATTGTTTAGAAATGGTTGGCACGGCAAATTTCATATACATTTATATTCATGATAAAAAATCCAAGAAGAATGGAGGCAGAGCAGGAAGGAGGTGGGCAACCAGAGCAGAGGTGACTTTTCGGGAGAGGGACGGGGGCTTTGTCAGGGGAAGCACAGGACTGGGTCCATCTGTCTTCCGGCAAATGTGTTCGGGCCCATGAAAAGCAAGTGTGAGTCACAAAGGCAAGGCCATGCCATCACCGATCTCAAAAGGTGGGGCTGGCAGAATGCCCCTGCCCTTGTGCCAGGCCCCTCCACCCCGCTGTCCTTTTAGGCCTGGATCAAAGCAACAGCCTCCTATTAGCCTCCTGGCCCCACCCTCCCTCTGCCCCTTCAACTCCACTTCCCTAATGCCAAGGTGGGGCGCTTCCTGGAGCAAATCTAATCCTGCTGCATCCACTCACAACTTTTCTGCGGGCACCCTCACTGGCGAACCTACTGCCTCCTTGACTTGGCCAAGGCTACTGGGGCCCATCCAGCCTATCTAGCATCCTTTACCCCTGTACAAAACCCCGAGTTCTACCTGGCCCAGGCCGAGTTGCTCATATTCCCTGAAAGGTATGCTCTGCAGACAGCAGTGTGGTTCCCAGCCCCCCTTTTTTAAAGATTTATTTATTTTTTATTTATACAAGAACTGGGGTACAGGCCAGATGCGCAGGAGGGTGAGAGGATTCACCAGAGACAAAGCGGGGAACAGAACAGGCAGGCTGACGAAATACACTGCTGAGGGGAGCAGCGGGCGCGACAGGAGAGGTCTGCCGTGTCATGTGGTACCCTCGCTGGCCAGCCAGGATCAAATTGGTGCTGCAGAGGCTGCAGACAGCTTCACAGTGCTGTGCTCAACCGCCTGCGCCACCAGGGGAGGCCCATCCCTTGGCAAACTTCTAAGTGACCTTCAGAACCCATTGCCAGTGTCATGACTATATTGGGTCTTCCTGGCTCTTCCCCAGACCGGATGGCTATGCTCTCCTGGCCCCCACAGCATTTCTCAGAGGTGATTGCAAGTATCATGCTGCACTCAGGACAGAATCTTGAATCACTGCATTTGAAGTGCTAATGGGAATGGTATCCTCCCCAGGTAATAGTTTGGGCATCTGGCTCATGAACGAATGGCCTAAGTATGTCCCTCACACTCAGAAGCCCACTCTCCCACTCTACCCCCACCATAGGACTCTGAGGGAAGCACCCAAGCAGGTGGCAACAGCTGAGACTGAAGCAGAAGAGGAGAAAAAGTACAAAGTGGGTTCAGGGAGACCTCTGTGAGTAGGAGTGGCAAGCAGGCCATGCATAGACCAGGTATACAGCCTCTTCAGTGGCCACGCCTCAAATATGGACTTTGGCTGCCTTGGCTAAGCAGGGGTGCCAGCCTGTGTCCAGGGAGCAGAGGTGCCTGGACTTGCTCACTCAGCCATCATGCCTGGGAAGATGAGGTTGCTGTTCCCACTGTTCCTGCTGGGGCTGGTGCTGGGGACCCAGCAGGCCCTCCCACCGCCCTGTGATAGGTAGGGGTGAGAAGGTGGCTGGGCAGGGGGCAGGAAGTCTGGGGTCTAGAGGTTGTGAGATCTTAGGGGCAAGGTGGGGGTGCACTTCCGAGGAAAGGAAGTGCATTAGACTTCCTGAGTAGCAGGCTGTGGGGGGGTGGGGCGGAGGGTGCACTAAATGTTAGTGCTGGGGAAAGACAGAGGAGCCTGCTGGCCAGAACCCACCCTTCCTCTCCCTCCCCTGTCCCTGCTGCCCTTCCTCTGCCCTCCCGCCTGCTGCTCCTTGAACTGGGCAGCACTCTTCCCAGGGTCGTTCTCCAAAACTTTCTACCCAGTTTCCCTAATATGGATGTGAGGGGAGCTCCTAGGAGCTTGAAAAGAACCTCTGGCCTCCGTTTGGGCAAGTCAAACCTCTTTCCTGAGCCTCAGTTTCTATCTCCAAATAATAGAGACCAGGGACCTGCCTCCCTGACTCACAGGGCATTGCCCTCTCTCATTCAACATGGATTTGTGGAGCTCTAGCTTCTCCTTGGGCGGCAGCAGTGAACAGGAAAAGCAAGGTCCCTGCCTTCATGGGCCTTACCTCAGCAAGGAAAGTGATGAATGACGGTAAATAACAATGAGATTACAAGTAAAGTGAAGTCAGGGAGCTGCTGGTGGGGTAAGCGAGGGTGTCTCTGGTGGGACGGGGAGGGAATTTTCCTCTGAGCAGCTGATGTTTGAGCAGAATTATGGAAGGAAGCTTCCCTGTGCGGGTCTGGGAGAAGGCAGCCCGGGCGTGGAAATTGCAGTGCAAAGTGTCCCCCAGGAAGGTGCTGCTCAAGCTCGCAGGCTTCCATTCAGCTCTGCCAGGCTCCAGGGCGGGCACAGCAAACACGGCCTTACCAGCTCGGTTATGTGGTATGATAGTGCTAAGAGACGATATTCATCTCTTGCTCTGAGCTGCTCCCAGGCACTCTGTCACGTGAGGCTGCTGTTGAAGGATCGGAAAGAAGGCTCATGTAGTTGAGGCAGAAGTGGGAACAGGCCAAGGCAGAAAAGGAGGCTCCTGAGAAGAGAACACCAGGGCTCGGGACCTGGTGGTAGACCCAGGAAAGTGAGGAATGGTTCAGCATGGGATGTACTCTGACGCTTGAGATGATAGGACTTGCCAAGGATAATTGGGGGGGCTGAGGGGGAAGAATATGCCTGGGGTCATTCGTCGGGGCAGTTTTTTAAAAAAAAGATTTTATTTATGAATACAATAACTGGGGTGTAGGCCAGAGGTGCAGGGTGGGGGGCGGTAAGAGGATTCCTCAGAGACAGAGTGGGGAGCAGAACAGGCAGATCTACTGAAATATCCTGCTGAGGGGAGCAGGGGGCGGGACAGGAAAGGTCTGCTGCGCCATGTGGGATCGAACTCATGCTGCAGTGGCTGGCTGCAGCGTGAGCTGTGTCTTTAAGCCCTGCGCCACCAGGGAGACCCCCAGTTATAGGGTTTTGTTCTGTGCAATATTACGGGGATTTCAGAGAGTCGGCATAATAGATGACCAAGTGTTTTGTTTAGGTTGTTGCCCCCAAAGTGGAAGTAGGTCCCCCAGCCACAGTGAGTTACTTGTCGCAGTGGTTATCAGTGTTTTCCCTGTAATATCATTATCAGTGGTTTCCCTGTAATAACTTAGATGAGCGCAGAGAAAGCAAGCGTGTCCGAGGGCAGAGTCCAACAGAGAACTCGCACCAGCTTCCAGTATCCACTTCCAGAACATTTGTAGAATGGCACTTAGTTTTTTTTAAAGACTGTCTTTTTTTTTTTTTCTTTCAAGATTCATTTATGCATACAAGAGCTGGGGTGCAGACCAGAGATGTGGGGGGTGAGAGGATTCACCAGAGACAGAGTGGGGAGCAGGACAGGCAGACTGACTGAAATACACTGCTGAGGGGAGCAGCGGGGGAGACGGGAGAGGTCTGCTGTGCCGTGTGGGTCAGCTCCCTGGCCGCGGATCGAACTCGTGTCCCAGTGGCTGGCGATAGCTTGAGAGCACGGAGACTTAACTCCCATGCCACCAGGGAGGCCCAGTGTGACCCATTTTCTAATAATTTATCTTTTTTTGATTGAAGTAGAATTGACGTGCACATCCTCTCCGCTTCAGTCATACAAGTGATTTGACATTTGTAAACTCATGGCCATGAGACATTTGCCGTCTTGTAGCAGTTTTCAAACTGGTGATAGTGCCCGTGACCCCGCGCTGTGCAGCACACCCCTGTGACTTGGTTTGTCACTGGAAGTTTGTGCCTCTTTAGCCCCCTTTATCCATTTTGCCCACCCCCACCCTCCTGCCCCAGCCACCTTCCTTGACCTCAGCTCCCAGGAGTAATCTCTAAGCTAGTAGAAGTGCCAAGTAGCAGGCGTGTCTTGGGTGGTCAGGTGATTAGAGGGTATCGGCCAACCTCCAGGCACAGGAGGGGCTGGAGACTGAGCTCACCCATGAGGCGAGGCCAGCAAGGCCGTGCCCGTGTCGTGGGACCCACGTGAAACCCTGGCGCCAGGGTCCACTGAAGCTTCTGGCCCATGAACAACTGCTGTGCTGGGTGGTGCTTCCTGACTCCAAGGGGAGAGGACATGGGCATTCTGAGGGTCCACTCAGACCTCACGCGCCGTGTCTTACAGAAATGAGCTGAGTGAGGGGGCTTGATTAGACCATGCCCTGAAGCCTACAGCGTCCACACTGACTCCAGGCAGCCGGTGTCACAACCGAATTGCTGTCACTCACCTTGAGAGTGTTCTGAGGCCTCCTCCGCCTTCCTCGTCTCGGGATGGGCCTGTGCCCCAGGAGAATTTGGATGTACCGTGTGATGTCTACTGCTTTAATCCCATTAGCTCATTTCCCCCCTGTTCTGTGCTAAAGGCTTTCTGTCCCGCCCAACAGGGGGGTTGAGGTGTGCGCACAGCTCCAGTGGGCTGGGCGCGGTGCTCTGTGTTGTCCACTACAGCCAGGGCCCTTTCTAGGCGTTTGACCTCAAGGCCTATTGTTACACAGAGATTAGTCTGCCAGGAGTCGTGGACCAGACAGTTCAAATACCCAGTAGGAAGCAGTTCCCCACAACTTTCCCAAATTAGTAGTTGGCACCTGCAAACTGGGAGCCAAAAGCCACGGGCATGCACCTAGGGTGCCCAGCTCGTATCATGTCGAAGGAAGATGCTGCTCAAGCTTGCAGGCTTCCATTCAGCTCTGCCAGGCTCCAGGGCGGGCACAGCAAACACGGCCTTACCATCTCAGGCATCCGGCATGATGGTGCTAAGAGACGATATCCATCTCTTGGTCTGAGCTGCTCCCCAGGCACCCGTGTCACGTGGGGCTCCCCATTCTCGTGCTCTACCCATCATTCACTCCTCCACCCTCCGCTGCTCTTTCCAGTTGTCGTTGATTTTTACCAAAATTGTCCACCTTTGGAAGGGGCTTAAATTTTGGCCACTGTGCTGTCTAGAGTGCTGGCAGCAATACCAGCCTGGCCTGAGACCCCTCAGCCCATCTGTCAAGGCTGGGGTCACGCAGGTGCAGCCGTGGGGTGATCCTACCACCTGTCTGCACAGCTGCATTCGTGTTGGCCGCTCTGGAGCCAGATGGGGTGTAGGCAGGAGTCGCCCATCAGGCCTTTAGGAATTCTGACATCTGTTTCAAAGGAGACTTACAGTCTCTTGCTTGGGGACCATCCCTGCTTCTGGCACCCCAGTGGCAGCCTGATCTTGGGGCCTCTGTATCAGGTAGGAATGTAAGTGGGAAGTGGATATAATTGGGTTAGGGGAAGAATTGTATCTCCCACCAGCAACCTCCCCACCCCCTCTCCCTCGGTTCCTAGAAAAGCAGATACACACACTCGGGCAGGCGTCACCAGCCCTTCTCGCCTTTGTCACTCCCTATTTTATTTTTTTTTATTTTTTTTTTTATTAATTTATACAAGCACTGGGTACAGTCAGAAGCGCGGGAGGGTGAGAGAATTCACCAGAGCCAGAGCGGGGAGCAGAGCAGGCAGAAGGACCGAAGCACACTGCTGAGGGGAGCAGCGGGCGGCGGGAGAGGTCTGCGCGCCATGTGGGACCCTCCTCTGGTGGCCAGGGAGCAGCCGGGGATCGAACCGGTGCTGCCGAGGCCGCGGGCAGTTTCGCAACCCAGCGCTCAACCGCTGCGCCACCCGGGAGGCCCCCTATTTTATTTGATTTATTTTTTCTATTTATTTTTTCCCCCAAAATCATCAGTTTTATTTATTTTTTAAAATTTTTTAAATTTATTTTTATATTCCCCATAAAATTGCAACCCCCTTACTTTGACCCCAATCCCTCCTTTCCCCGCCCCCACCCTCCATAGAGTGTCTCTGGTTCATAGTTTTTTGTTGATTTTGATTTTTACTTTCTTATAGTTATTCATTTTCCTGGTCCCTTATTTAGATTTTCTAGATTCCTGCTATGAGTGAGACCATCCGGTATTTTTCTTTTTCTTTTTGGCTTATTTCGCTGAGCATGATCCCTTCCAGCGCCATCCATGTTGCTGCAAATTCCATGAGTTTATCTTTTTTGATTGCTGAGTAATATTCCACTGTGTATATGCACCACATCTTCTTGATCCAGTCATCTATTTTTGGGCATTTGGGCTGTTTCCAAAGCTTAGCTATTGTAAACAGTGCTGCTATAAACATAGGGGTGCAGGTGCTCTTTGGAATTGATGTTTCTGTGTCCTTTGGGTAAATACCTAGGAGTGGAATTGCTGGATCATATGGAAGCTCTATGTTTAGTAGGTCCAGAAATCTCCACACAGCTCTCCATAGTGGTTGGACCAGTTTGCACTCCCATTTTTAGACAACAAAGGCTTCAGTCCCCTGTTCCAATTCTCTATCAAATTAGCACGCTCAGGGGGACCCCACCATCGCTGTCCATTCAGCACACTCAACACCGGCCTGTGGGTGGAGCCGTGGGCTGTCCTGAGGGGTGCAGTAGCTGGTTTCAGTGTAGCATCTTCTATTTTCAGCACTGGCATCTCTACAGTCAGGTACGAAAAGACCCTCTAACATGCCCTTCAGTTTCCCTAGTGATGCCACATGGGCAACCCTTCAGTAGTCTGGTTTTTTTTTTTTTTTTTAAGATTTATTTTTATACAAGAACCGAGGTACAGGCCAGATGTGCGGGAGGGTGAGAGGATTCACCAGAGACAGAGTAGGGAACAGAACAGGCAGATTTACTGAAAACACTGCTGAGGGGAGCAGCAGGCGAGACAGGAGGGGTCTGCCCCAGCATATGGGTATCTCTGCAGCCGGCGGGGATTGAACCCGCACTGCAAAGGCTGCGGACAGCTTCACAGCGCTGCGCTCAATCGCCTGCACCACCAGGGAGCCCCTGTTTTGTTTCGTTTTCACTGCCCAGCTGCCCATGCAGCAGTAAAAGCCCAAAGGTAGGGTATAGCGACTTTCGATTCTTCTCTTGCCACAAGGGAAACAGCAGGTAGAGTCCACTCAGCTGATGCAGTCTTACCTTCCTCAAAGATTTCCGTCAGCCTGTCTGATCTCAGTGGCCTTCCAGACAGGACACTGACCATTTGGGAATGGCCATCAGCAAAGCAAGGGGCCTGTTACTGGTCAGTAGAGTTGGTCCCAACATCCCTCAAGTTCTTCCAGGCTCCTCAAGTTCTTCCAAGGTCAGGCCCGAGGGAGAGAGGCTGCCTGCTCGTGACCGGGAAAAGTACTTCCTCCCGCTCCCGAGGGGCGTGGGCTTTTGCAAACCAGCTCTGGTTTATCAAGGAGCTCTTTGGCGCTCTCAGAGGTCTAGGAGCCTTCTCTATAACAGCGTGGCTCTGAGCTCACCCAAAGCATTGTGGGTATTTCAGCTTCCCGGAATAGTTTGCCCTTTAGTCACAGGCAGTGAACTGACACCCAAGAGCAAGCCAGTAACTGTGCCCCACATGGCGTGTAATCAAACTGCATCCAGAAACGTCCTGGGCTACCATCGCAAGGCCCACGCGCTTGGCCCATGTCCAGTCCAGGGAACGTGCCCCAGGCTGCAGCCGGCCTTCTGTCCTCACGGGGTCGTGGTGGCCTGACCTGTCAGTGGTCCCCTCTTTCTCCGCAGCCAGATTTACTGCCACGGGGAGCTCCTGCACCAAGTTCAGATGGCCAAGCTCTACAGGGATGACAAGGAGTTTGTGGACATGCCCATGAGCGGGGATCCAGGTGGGTAACTGGGGGCCCACCTTCTCCTGATCCTCCCCCTGAGACGGGGCAAAGATCAGGGAGAGAGGGGCCTCTGATCAGGGAGGGGTTCATGGGGTCCTCCTGACCCCTCCTTGCTGCCTGTTCCCCAGCGCAAATCCTCCAGCGCTTCGACGAGCTGGCCGCCGCCTACAACCACAGCATCCCCCGGGACGAGATAAAGGCATTTGTCAGCCAATCCTTCCTGGTCAAGGGGCAGGAACTGGACCCCTGGCTCCCTGAGGACTGGAGAGAGAGGTACCACCCTGGACAGGGATCTGGAGAGGGCCCTCCCGGCAGAGCCCCTCCCTGACCCCGCTCTTTCAGACCTCAGCTGCTGTACAATATCTCCGACCCCAGCCTTCGAGCCTGGGCAGAGAAGCTGCACAAGCTCTGGAAGGACCTGGGCAAGAAGGTATCTGGTCCTTGGCCTCCGCGGGGGGGATGGGTCTGGGAATCCAGCCTGCGGTCCACGCTGCCTCCAGAACAGACTGGGACTCGCTTTGTGACAATACCCACACCCCACCTTTGGGCCCTGAACACACGTGCTCTGGGAAGACGTTCTGGGGGGGGGGCACACCCAGCCTCCTCTGTGACCTGGTCTGCCCCTCACGCCAGCGGGGGTCACTCTCTGCCCTGCTGGACTCTTCCCCGCGCCTCCCAGGCCAGGTCTCCGCTCAGGAGCGGCCGGCACAGCAGCTGCCACAGAGCCCCGTGCTCAGCTCGGCACTGAGGCGCGGTCTGTCCCGGGCCCGAGGCTCAGAGAGGGCAGCGGTCTGCCTGGGGCTGCCCAGGAACACCTGCCCCGTCCTCCCGCCCGGCCCCAGGGCGCTGGCACTCCCTGGCACAGAGGGCCCTCCCAGCTCCTTTGCTAGCTGCGCTGCTGCCTCGCCCAGGGCCGGCGGGACCCCCAGGGCCCGGCCCTCTGCTCCTCTCTGGGTCACCAACAGGCTGACCCTGCCCCACTGAACCCACGCTGGGCCGGAGAGGGCACGCAGGACAGCAGTGCCTGGCATGGACACGCCTCCGCCCTCCTCTGTGCCACCGTGGTGCCCCTTGGTGCGCTGGCTCCATGTCTGCCCCACTGGGAGAGGGCTGGGGTTTCAGCCACCCCTGGGCAGAGAATGGGGACCCTGAGTCTGGCCTGGGGTGGGGGTGGCAGTGGGGGTGGGTGGAGGTAAAGAGCTCCCACCTGGGTCCCACTGTGGTGGCTGGCGGGTGAGGCCCTGCCAGGCAGGCTGGGTGTGGGGCCTCCACTCACTGTGGTGCTGTGTGGGGGACCCCAGAGGCCGCCGTGGCGGGGAGCAGCCCAGGCCTTGACCAAGGCCACCCAGCTGAGCAGCAGCTGAGCCAGAACTGGGGTCCTGGCTGCCAGGCTCCAAACCCGCCGCTGCCCCTGCCTCCTCCAGCCCCCAGCCCCAGGGGCCCAGCTCCCCTGCCCTGTCTCCTGACTCCAGGTGAAGCCGGAGGTGGGCAGCCAGCCCGAGCGCTTCTCTCTGATCTACTCGGAACACCCCTTCATCGTGCCAGGAGGGCGCTTTGTGGAGTTCTACTACTGGTGCGGGGCCGGGAGTGCAGGGGTCCAGGCTCCGGGGTGGGGATGGGGGGGCCCTGAGCAGCGGGGGCACCAGGGTGTGGCCTGGGTGTGAGGGGCAGAGGCGGCGGGCAGGGCCCACCTGAGCTGTCCCCTCCCCCAGGGACTCCTACTGGGTCGTGGAGGGGCTGCTCCTGTCTGAGATGCCCCGGACGGTGAAGGGCATGCTGCAGAACTTCCTGGCCCTGGTGCAAAGGTAGTGCGGGCACCTCTGGGCAGAGTGGAGAGGGGAACAGAGCGGGGAGCGGGCAGGTCTGGGCACTGGTGTCCAGGCAGCGGCATGAGCCCGTGTCCTCTGCAGATACGGACACATCCCCAACGGGGCCCGCGTGTACTACCTGCAGCGCAGCCAGCCCCCGCTCCTGACCCTCATGATGCACAGCTACGTGACTCACACCCAGGACCTGGCTTTCCTACGGTGGGCACCCCGCCCGTCTGCCCCCCCCAGCCCTGAGCCCTCCTAGCTGCGTGGGGGGCTGTGCCTGGACTGAGGGGGTTCCCGCTCCACCCCAGGGACAACATCAAGACCCTGGCCTTGGAATTGGACTTCTGGGCCCGGAACAGGAGCCTCTCCGTGAGCGTGGCGGGGAAGAGCTACGTCCTGAATCGCTATCACGTCCCTTATGGGGGCCCGAGGTGAGGCGGCTGGCGGGCGCCCAAGCTCATTGTGATGACGGTTGGGACATCTGAACACCCCCACCCGGCGGGAGCTCCATGGTCGGCCCCCTCGCAGGTGGGGACACTCACAGCCCTGGGCACTCAGGGGCTGCGGGGCCAAGAGGGCTCAGCCTCCTGCTTGGGCACAGAGGGACGGAGAGTCTCCTGGTGCCAGGCTGCCTGCTCTCCTGCCAGGCCAGAGTCCTACAGCAAAGACGTGGAGCTGGCGGACACCGTGCCGGAAGGTGAGTGGCTACTGGGTGAGGGAGGCTGGGCGGTGCTGGGGGCCTGCAGTGGCCGGGCCGGGCCCCACTTGCTGCGTCCCCACCCTCACAGACAGACGGGAGACTCTCTGGGCTGAGCTCAAGGCAGGGGCCGAGTCCGGCTGGGACTTCTCTTCACGCTGGTTCCTCGGAGGCCCCAATCCCGACTTGCTCAGCAGCATCCGAACCAGCAAACTGGTGCCCGTCGACCTCAATGCCTTCCTCTGCCAGGCGGAGGAGCTGATGAGCAACTTCTACTCCAGACTAGGTGGGCGCCCTCTAGGGCGGGGAACAACAGGGGTGCTTGTGCGCTTGGGCTGCTGCCTCAGCCTTGGCAACAGAACTGGAAGCAGGACCCCGGGGAAGGGCATCCGGCCTGTGCAAGCCCCACCCCTAGTGCGGCCAGGCCAAGATGCAAACAGCCCACTCTTGGCTTCACTCCCCCATTTTTTACTGGGAGGGCCTTTCAGGGCCCCTGAGAGGACACCTTAGTTCACCCATTCAAACTCCCTCCACTCCCTCTCCCTCTGCCCCCACGGCTGTGGGCCAGTGTCCCCCAGAGGAGTGCCCAGGGGAACAGGCCAGTGCAGGTCCTAGAGCAATACAGGGCCATTCCCGAGGAATGGCAGGTCCTAGAGGCCTGAAAGGTGTTGGGCTCCAGGCAGGATGCCCCCTGGGTGCTTGGTATTTTTATAGCGCTTGGAATGAGTGGGAGGTGGCCAGCGTAGAGTTCTCAAAGCGTGGAGCCCCGGGCCCTGGTCACTCAGCCTGAAGGCAGTCTGCTCTAGGGGACACCTCCCAGGCTGAGAAGTACAGAAAACTGCGGGAGCAGCGCATGGCCGCCATGCAGGCTGTCCTGTGGGACGAGGAGCAAGGCGCCTGGTTTGACTATGACCTTGACACTGGAAAGAAGAACACAGAGTTCTACCCAACCAACCTCGCTCCTCTCTGGGCCGGCTGCTTCTCAGACCCAGAGGCCCCAGACAAGGCTCTGAAATACCTGGAGGTGAGGGCACAGCGGGGCGGGGCTGCTCCCCAGGGACAGGCCCACTGCTCTCTGCCTGACTGAGCAGGGACCCCTGGACAGGGGCAGCCCCGCCCCACTGCTGCTCCCTGGTCTTGGCCTGGATGCCCCACTGGCGCCAGCAGGGGGCAGCTGTGGGCAAGAAGAGCGGGCCCAGCCAGGGCAGCATCTGGCTTCAGGGGGCTCAGCAGCCTGGGTCCCCGTGCCAGCCTGCGCTCAGTCACAGTATTGTCTGCCACCTTCTAGGCCAAGCAGATTCTGAAGTACAAGCGTGGCATCCCGTCCTCTCTCAAGAACTCAGGCCAGCAGTGGGACCTCCCCAATGCCTGGGCGCCCCTGCAGGACCTGGTCATCAGAGGTAGGCAGGCGGGGACGGGGCCCACCCCAGGGCCTAGCCCCACAGGTGACGGTGAGGAGGGCGGAGGCAGGGGCCTCTCTGGCTCCTCTGCCGTCTCAGCCCCCTCGCAGCAAGCGTTCATGCCACCCGCCTGCTTCCCTCCCCCTTCCCGAGCCCTGGACTAAGAGCAGGCTGGCCTGGGCTCCAGGCAGGAGGCCGTAGGCCCCAGGCCTCTGTCCCCCCTGGAGAGAGGAAGGCTCAGGCCTCGGCTTCCCCTGGGATGGGGGCTCTGGAGATTCAGGGCTGTGTCTGGGGCGGGGGTCCAGGTCTGGCCAAGTCTCGTTCACCTCGGACCCGGGAGGTGGCTTTCCAGCTGGCCCAGAACTGGATCCGCACCAACTTTGACGTCTACGCCAAAACGTCAGCCATGTATGAGAAGGTGAGCCGAGCGCAGTCAGGGGGTTCCTCCCAGTGGTGAGATGGGGGGAGCGTCAGGCTTTGTGAAGCCCAGGCCGGCGCCGCAGCGGCACCTGGTGGCCATTCTTGGGCACTGCATGGATGCGCGCTGAGGCCTTTCCTTCCAGCTTCCCCAGAGGGCCGGGTCGTGGGGATGTAAAACTGGTGCAACAGCTGTGGAAAGCAGCTTCTTCCAAAGAGGATCCCATTTCTTCCTTCCCCTGAAGGACTGGGGTGGTGGGACTGGGGTATCTCCTGACCTTAGCACCTGTCCTCTTGTCCCTAGTATGACATTGATAAAGGCCAGCCAGGTGGTGGAGGGGAGTATGAAGTTCAGGTAAGTGGCTGACATCCCACATCCATGGCTCTCTTGCCCCCTGAATGGATCCTGTTCGTGTTACCTCGCTGTGTGTGGGTCCAAGGGGAGTACCCTGAGCGGTGCCTCTGGTGGGAGATCCCACAGCCTCATGCGAGGACTGGGGCGGGGGTGAGGAGTCTTCCATCTTGTCCATTGGCCGTGTTTCTCTCCAGACGGGGTTCGGCTGGACGAACGGAGTAGCCATGATCCTCCTGGACCTCTATGGTGACCAGCTGACGTCAGGAACCCAGATGGCTTTCCTCGAGCCCCACTGCCTTGCATCTGCGCTCCTGCTCAGCCTCCTCCTCAGCTTACTGGCACAGTGATGGACCTCACTGCTGGGTCTGCCTTCGCCTCCCCAGGCTCCCAACTATTAAATCTGTATGAGCCTTGCCTGCTCCCGCCTCTTCATCCTCCACTGCTTGAGACCCCATGTCCTCCTGCTCCCCAGCCAGCGGCGTGGGGACAAGGTAAGGACCTGAGGTCATGGGTTGGGGGCCCGGGTCCTTTCTGGCACATTTAATAAGAAGGTGGAAATCCTGCTTCGTGAGACAACGTAGCTTGCCCGCCCCATGTAACCCAGCCCCGGCCCCACATCACCTGGCTTCCCAAACATACTCCAAATGCTTTATTGTTTTGCTGAGATGCTTACAAACACTGAAAAACACCCAGCCCGGGCCCAGCAGCCATGGGGCCGGCGCTGAGGAGGAGGGCAGGGAGCGGGGCTTAGTGTTAAGGCGTGAAGGGCTGAGGCCAGATGGTTGGCTGCCTGGTCCTCTGCTTTCTGTTTCCACCCTCTGCTGAGGCTGAGAGCAGGCAGCCGGATTGGGGGCCCTCCCGCTCTAGTGCGTCCTCTCTTGCTTGGGCTTTCCCCAGGGAGCCTCTGAACCATCCTCCGTCCCTGTCAGCACCTCAGTCCTGCAGAGAACCCCGAGGACGGCCAGTCCATGTGCCTCGCTCCTCTGGTATCTAGATTCCCCTGTTTCATCCCTTCTGGCTCTAAGCAAGGCACAAGTGGAAGGGAGAGGTTGGACTGGGGGGCTGGCAGGCTGCGTGGCAGGGCCTGGAGATGCAGGGAGCAGGGGCCCAGTCCTGTCCCCCAGCACTAGTCACCCAGGGGCCTGGGCTGGAGAGATGGTGGCACGCACCTCGGATGGGGCTGCAGCTGCGGCAATTGGTATGTAACCACGGCAATGCAGCAGTTACTACGGGGACCACGGGCTGGGTCTGCAACAAGGGGTGGGGCAGGAACCTCAAGGGTGACACCCGAGGTCACTGGCCCTTGAGCAAGTAAAAAATATAAACGGGGGAACAGGGTAGAGCGAGGTTCGAGAAGTACACTGCCTGAGCTGTCACCCCACTCTGGATGTCACTCTGCTCAGCGCCCGAGGCCTGCTGGGCAAGAGGGGATCTTTGGCAGATTCTGGTACCATAACTTGTCCTTAACAAATGAGAACACAGGCTGGGGAGCACAGGCGCCAGGGGAGAGCTGAGACGTCTGTGACAGCTCCTCGGCTCTGGCCCAGCCCCTGAAAGGGCATTGCGAGGTCTGGGCTCTTTCTCCACGCTCTAGGTCCGGCTGGCTCTTTGAGGGGCCCAAGCTCGGAAACTCACAGAGCTGGTCATTACGAAGTCGTTTTGTACAAAAGCCCACGGCTCTCCTGAGAGGCCCGTGGCCCAGCACACCGCGGCCTCCAGGACCAAGCCGAGCAGCAGCGGGTGGGCCCAGGGTGGCCTGAGGTCCGAGCTCCACTCAGGTCAGTTCATGAACTGAGTGTAGCCCTCAGCCCCGGTGACGATGACGTCCATCCAGATGCGCATGGCCTCCGCAGACGGTGCCACCATGTAGTAGAGCCGGTCGTGGGTCTTCACGCAGAAGGTGAGGGCTGGGTTCGGGCTCTGCCGAGGAAGAGAAAGGTCTGAACAGGGGGTCCTCAATGTCCAGGAAACTTCCCCTCACTGGCCTCCCTATCTGCCCCTCCGCTCCCTCCCTCCAGGACGCCACCGAGCTCGGGGTCCTGAGTGGGGGCAGGATGTGGGCTCCGCTGAGACAGTCCCTTCCCCCACCTGGGCATCCCTGGCCCCTGCAGGGCCATACGCTGTCAGTCGGGGTACTGTTCCTTGGTACCCCCAGGTCCAAAATGAATATGCAGAGAGGACCAGAGTATCCTCTCAACAGAAGAGGCAGATGAAAAAAGCTACAAGTGGGGTGCTGGGCCCCAGGACAGGGGCAGGCATCTGGGGCTTAGCAGAAAGGAGGCTATGGCCTTAGGGTGGACGCAAACATCTGCCTGTCACCCCTCCCCACCCAGGCCGGGCTCCTACTCCCCTCTCAGCCATCCTGTCCGCAGGGCCGGAGGGAGGCCTCTGGGGCTTCCTGCCATCCACCCTCATGCCTCAGGCCCCGGGGGGATGGGGCGGGGTTACAGGGAGAGTAAAGAATCAGGGGAATGGGTAGAGGCGGCGTTAATGTATGGTAGTTCTGGTTACAGGGAAGTGGGGAGAGGTACCTCAGTCACCATAGTGAAGCTGAAAAACCTCTTCTGGGAAGGGGAGAGGGAGAGAGGAAGAGCAGGTTTACAAAGAGAACAGGAATGGGTCCAGGCCCCCAAAGAGGGGACGCTGGAGACCTTTGCTCCTGTGGCCTCAGGGCCCACCCGGTCCCAGGGCTGCCCTCTGCCCCTCACCTTGGCCGCACTGCGCAGGTGGTCGTAGTACACTTCCTCGATGGCCTGGAAGTAGATGACCCCCTTCAGCTTCGTCTCATGCTTATCTGCAAAGGAAAGAAGGGCCAGGCTGAGGCCTGTCGTACTTCAGGTCAAGATCTGTTCAAATGGAGTGTCCCTGCCTGGGAAGCGGGGTGCCTCCCAAAACTAAGACAGAGCAGGGCCCTAAAGATAGGGTCAGCCTCACAGAGATGCAGAGGAGAGCGCCACCGAGGCACCACTTCCCACCTACCTGGAGAAACAGGTAGGCTAACAAATGGCAGGTGGGGTGTGTCCCGTCCAGCCCCTATGGATTTGCCTGTAGCCGCCGGGGTTAGGAAAGTGGTTGCCCTTTGAGCCGATGATGACGCTTACCAGAATGTTATCTTACACACGGACAAAACAAGTGTATGAGCTTCATGTCAGCGGTATTTGCAGTCACGTAAGATTGGAAACCACCCAGCCAGCCAGCCATTAAGTCTCAGTCTTTGCGGGAACTTGCCCAAGGGGAGTCCACGGGGCCTGTGCACGCACAGCATGCATCTAGAGCATGCCCGACAGGCTTTGTTTTAATTCCTCGGTCAGTACCTGCCTTCCCAACAAGCAGCTCCAGGGGACAGCAGTGGCTGTCACACTTATCACAAAAGCCTAGAACAATGCCTGGAACTTGTTAGGTGCAGAGCAACATTGCCAAATGAATGACCCAGTAAGTGGAGGCAAACCAGGCCCCCACTGCGTTTTCAGGGAGGGAGGGGACAAGCCTGGGTACTCACTCAGCCTTGGCCTCTTTCCAGCAGGCCAGCTGGCCCAGGTGAGACAGCCTGGGGGGCCCAGTTCTGTCTCAGACTTGTGAGAACTCACCCACGTAATAGGAAAGGGTGCGCTTGAGCCGGTCGAACACAAACCAGCGCTTCTTCCAAGATTTAATCTTGCCGCCCATCTTTACCAAGTAGCCACGGCAGACCTGGTGGGAAGCAGGAGTAAGGAAGGACCCCGAGGCACGGTCCCTAAGTCTTTCTTCCCTGAGCAGCTCCAAAGGTGCCATCCCTAGCCTCTCTGCAGCATACCAGGTCCTGGGACAAGTGCCTCTGGTGTCAGGGCAGGCACTGAGGCCACTATTCCAAGGCCCTAGGAGATGCCTCTCACCATGGAGTCCTCTCCCCAAGCCCCCAGGGCCGTGTGCGTCCTGTACCTTGCTGCTGAGCACCACGTGCAGGCAAGTATCAACGCCATGGCCTGAAGACTCGATGTGGGTCTTCAGGTCAAAGTCCTCCTTCCGGATGGGCAGGTAGCGGGTCAAGGGTCTTGCCTAAGACAGAAGGTGGGATCAGCAGGTAGCCTCTCTTCCCCCGTCTCCCTGTCCAGGCCCCTTGAGTCCTGAAACCCCCAACAGCCTGCCCCCACCCCCTCCCGTGACGGCCACTGTGCTGAGACGTGGGGCAAGAGCAGAGATCAGCATGCCTGTGCCGGCTACCTCAGTCTGGGAAAACTACCAAATGGCTCTAGACCTTGGTTTCCCCACCTGGACCAAGACACAGCCAGCCTTGTCTTGTCCCTGACCACCTCCGCCCTCGTGGACTAAATGGAAGGAAGCAAAAGTCCAGCTGTGAACATGCTCTGGGAGGAATAATCCCGAGCTTTTCTGTTTGTGACCGCTGTGGGGCCCTGTCTGGGTCACGTCCCCTCTCTGGGTGTGTTTTCTTGTTTGTAAAAATAAGGGCTTTGAACTACTGATAATCACTAAACTCTATTCCACCTTAAAAATTCTGCTACAAACTAGAATTGTCAAGAGAAGAGTATTAGGATGGCAAGAAAACAACACAAATTATTTTAAAAAACACAACTTCCAGGGCCTCCTTGGTGGCTCAAGGGGTTAAGATGCAACCTACAAAGCTGTCTGCAGCCGCTGCAGTGCGAATTCAATCCCCAGCCAGGGAGCAACCCACATGGTGCAGCAGACCTGTCCTGACTTGCCCCCTGCTCCCCTCAGCAGTAGATTTCAGTCGATCTGCCTATTCTGCTCCCCACTCTGTCTCTGGTGAATCCTCTCTCTCTCCATACCTCTGGCCTGTACCCCAGTTCTTGTATGCATAAAGAAATTTTTGGGAAAAAATAAAAAAAACACCCATAACTTCTAGGGAGTGCCCCAAAGACTCTGCCCACGTCCCATAGCAGACCTGACTGAGGCGGGAAAGAGAAGCTGGGCATCTGACAGATCCCAAGCAAAGGTTAAACAGCCGCTGATTATTTCTTAGCTCCCAAGCCTAACGAGGTGGTGACCCATTAAATTTCTTTTCACAGCAGGAAATCAGGGAGATCCCCCAAGATCCCCACCCTGGTGAGACCTACAGAGAGGTCCAATAGGAAGGGGCAGCCTGTCTGAATCCCACAGGCTCCTGTGGCTGCAGGGTGGGGTGGCATGGGATCTGGACCAGAGAGATGGGTAGGTTTCCAAGCCTCCCAGGGAGAAACTAGTACAAATCTGTCTTGGAGATATAAACAAAGTCAGGGTGAGGCCATGTGCTGGTGGTGGGGGCCTGGAGTGGGAAAAGCCCCCAGGAAAGGGCCAGGACAGCCATGAACCAGGCACAGGATGGCATCAGGGAAGCAGGAAGGAGGTACGGGCAGCTCACGAAACAGAGATGAGGCCCCTGAGAAGGACCGAGGGGAGCCTCCTTGATTCTCAGCTCCCCTCCCTGGGAGGCCTTTCCAGACCCTCTCCTCTGACCCTGGATGTCTGCCCCAATGGGTTTTTGTTCCCTGAGGCCAAATAAGTTTCAGGAAAAGTCAAGAACAGTATTTTCAGGAGCCATACAAGTTTTACAGACCAGCAGGGGAATCCTGGGATAGCCCTAGCCCTCCACAGCACCACCTTCAAGGCAATCCACCCATCACCCACTGACCTGGGAAAACTGCTTCTCCCGCATCTTGACTTCCTTCTCCACCAGCTGCTGCCTCCGGGCACTCTCGCTCTGCAACCTCCGTTCCACCTGTTCCCTCCGCCTCCGCTCCTCCTCCAGGGCCTGCCTCCGGAGCTCCATCTCCCGCTCCTGCCCCCCCAGTGCCCCCAAAGCCAGGGGTCAGTACTGAGGCATGTTCCCCCCACCCGTGCAACCCCTCCTCAGGCTGGAGGGCAGAGCTGCAGGAGGCACCCAGCTCCGAGGGCAGCCTGACGCAAGGACCCATCAGCCTCAAAACCCACCCACTTCAAGGGCCTTGGAGAAGAGCTTGTTTTAAAATGAGACCCTCCTGGCTTCTGCCAGGCCCTGCTACCACCCAGAGTTCTGTGACTCTGACAATCATTTAAACTCCCTAAGCCTCAGCTACCTCATCTGTAAAATGGTGCTCCTGATGGACTAAGGTAAAACAAAATCCTGTATGTAAACGCCCATCACTCACTCCAGCAGAACAAAGTGCTCAACAAATAAATGGGGCACTTATGTTTATCTGAACTTAGAACAGCTGCTTCTGACAGCTAGTACAACCCACTTCCCTAATCACTAGGGCCCTTAGAAACTCCAGATTGGAAACATTTGTTGCTGAACTTCAAATTTTAAGGGAAAAAAATGAACTTACGAAAGCCATTATATAAAGATTTTTAAGGTCATTAGAAGAAATCATTAAATCTAGAGCCTGTTGGTGGTGTTTCATATCTTCATCAATAATGCCGACCTTGGGCCTCCCTGGTGGCGCAGCGGTTGAGCACAGCGCTGTGCAGCATTACTCAGCCTCCGTGGCGCGGGTTCGATCCTGGCCAGCCAGGGAGAGGCCCACATGGCGCAGCAGACCTCTCCTGTCTCGCCTGCTGCTCCCCTCAGCAGTGTGTTTCGGTCAGTCTGCCTGTTCTGCTCCCCGCTCTGTCTCTGGTGAATCCTCTCACCCGCCCTCACATCTGGCCTGCGCACCAGTTCTTGTATGCATGAATAAATAAATCTTTAAAAAAAATAATGCCAACCTTCGTATCTTTAACTCCCACTTGCCATTTCTTCCTGGCTCAAAACAGCAGAATCCCCTCTCTCCATTTGTCAAGAGCTGTCTGCAAACCTGCCCTTCACGTGCATATGACTAAGAGCTGTTCCTTTCTGGTGGCCTGGCTGCCGACTTCTCCCTGGGTCCTGCCCTTACCTCAGACCCAGCAGCTTCTGCTGACCCTCTGAGTCCTCCCATGCACGGCTGCCTCGGCCGGGTAAATTGCTGGCGCCTCTGTGCTGGGTCCAGCTCCAGGCCCACGTGAAGGAAGAGTGACTTCCCTCTGCCCCCGCCACTCTCCCGGGCGCCCAGCCAACACTGCTCTGCCTCGGACATGCACCAAGGGACATCTTCTGTCCCTTCCCCTCAACCCCCGGTTCCTGCTTTTCCTAACCACCCCCAAGAGGAATGACCTGCCACTCAGACGCACGATCGAAAGGCCTGTGCTGGCCAAAATATCAGCAGAAGTAAACACACAGCCTGGAAGTTCCCACACAGGAAATTCAAGGCTAGACAATGGTTACCGCTGCCTCCTCCTTTCTAAAGGCTGTGAGACCTGTAATCTCACCAAGCTCCCTGCCCCCCACCCCCCCTTGAGGAACACAATCTTTCCAAACTCTTTCTTCCTCGCTAAAGTGGGTGAAAGGACTGAGGGTGGAGCACAGCCCCGGGCAGGTGTGCGTGTGGCGAGGGGGCAGCTCTGAGGCCCCGATCAGTCAGTCTCACCCTGGACTCCATGAGCCGGCTCTTCTCCGCGTGAGCTTCTTTCAGCATCTTCTCCATCTCCTCGATCTTCCCCACATCCAAGCCGCTCGTACTGCGGAGGGGGGAGGCAGGTGCATCTAGAAGCCGCAGAGGCCCGGGGCAGAGGTAGGCCCTGGCGTGGGGGAGGGCGGGGTCAGTACCTGGACATGTTGTCGGGGGAGCAGGCAGAGTTGGCCCCCGTGGAGATGCTGGTGTCCATGCTGTCGGAGCTCTCTAGACTCAGCGTGTCGTAGGCGTGCTCACCCTCCTCCCCGCGCTCCCGCCCAGCCGGCAGGTGGTGCAGGATGGAGTGGTGCATGAGTGGGGGGAAGCCCGAGGGGCCTGCCGGGAAGGGGGCTGCCCCATGCAGGGCATCCCACTGGCACTGGGCCTCGGCTGCTGCTTTCTGCTTTAGCTCAGCCAGTCGCCGCCGCTGCTCCTCAATCACCTGCTGCCCTGTGAGAGGGACAGCAGGGGTCACAGTGGGCACCCACCCACCTGGGGAGGACAGGGTTGCATTACAGACAGAGGGGAGAGCCAAGCAGGCAGAGGTTAACACGGGCGCCCCTCACCCCCCACCAGTTTCCCTGAAGCCCCCCACAGCCCCAGGTTCGGCTGCCCAGCCAAGGCTTGTCGCCTGCACGACGGGCCCCAGGAGCCCAGTCTGGTTGCAGCGCTTTCTGCATCCTGAGCCCACACAGGACACAGAACCTGCCCAGGTGGCGCCCCAGCGGCATGATGGCTAGGTGGCTCCAAGGCCTGATAGGTGAGCAGGACACATGCACCCATCCTGCCTGCTGGGGAGGGGGAAGGGACGGAAGACGGGACTCCTAGGAGGACCCGGCATCAGTGCAGACCCAGCAACAGTGCAGAAGCAAAGCAACAGCAGCAGGAGAGGACAGACAAGGAGAAGCACAGCTGAGACCAGACAGAGCTCAGCTCGAGGGGCGAGGCCAGCCAGAGACCCCAACCCAGCTCAGCCTGGAGCCATCATGCGGAGGCCGGGTGCAGGCAGGGGCTGCCTGGCCAGAGCCAGGGCCTCAGTGACCTACGCTCTACCTGCTGGGTCGTCGGTTGGGAGGGGCTCAGCGGGAAGCAACTCAACTGGTGTGGGGGGCCCCCAGGCAGAGTGGGGAGTAGAGAGACACAGAGGGGATGAGAGGAGAGAGAGCACAGGCATGGGCTTTCCAAACAACCAAAATGTAATCAAGCAACAAGGACTCTTGGTTTCCCAAGCCAGTGTCTCAGGGCACGAGGCCATGAAGCCATCCCCCTGCCTCTGGACAGGGCGGAGTTTGTCCTTGTCTAGTCAACAAGCATGTCCCCTGCTTCCTGGGCTCGTCAAGAAACATCTCCCATGGGCCTCCCTGGTGGCGCAAGGAGTGAAGCACAGCACTGTGAAGCTATCCGCAGCCTCTGCAGCACGAGTCCTATCCCTGGGCCAGCCAGGGAGCTACCCACATGGCGCAGCAGACCTCTCCTGACTCGCCCGCTACTCCCCTCAGCAGTGTATTTCAGTCAGTCTGCCTGTTCTGCTCCCTGCTCTGTCTCTGGTGAATCCTCTCACCCCCTGTACCTCTGGCTTATACCCTGGTTCTTGTATGCATAAATAAATCTTGAAAAAAAAAAAAAAAACCCCAGACCCCCGGCACCTTGAGCCCCCTGTCCTTAGTCTTTCAATAAATATCCAGAAAGTTCTTTGGGTGTCTAATCTAAATTCTTTCTGCTCTTGGATTAAAGGGCGTGGACGAGCACGGTAGAGGACTAGGTCCAGGGTCGCCCGGGGGAGCAAGACAACTGGCATTGCAGCCACTCACCCTTCTGCTGCAGGGCCAGCTGGCGTTTGGTCTCAATGTCCTGCAGCGTGGCTGCCAGGTTGCGAGGAAGGCTGCCTGTGCCATTCTGGGCAAGCAGAGCGCTCTGCAGAGGGAAATGGAGCACTAAGGCCAGCGCTTCAGAAGACCCTCCTCAAGGCCAAGGTGACTCTGGCCTCTTCCCAGTGTGGCGGCCTCCACCCCTCCCTCGCCACCACCCGGCCACACACGCAGCCCTCAGACCTTCGGGGAGGGGCTGCGGCCCAAGGTAGCCACGCTGAGCTGGGAGGAGGAGGAGGAAGACCCAGAGGAAGAGGGGAGAGGGCCGCTGCGGGTCCGGGGCAGGGGGCTGGCGGCTTCACCATCCATCTTGGAGCGGTAAACCTGGAGGGAAGAGACACTGCCCGGTGAACCCCAACTCTCCCAGTAGCCATCACCCCAATGCCACCTAGGCTGGCTGTGATCCAAGGTGCTGCCCTGGCACCAGGCCTCTGTCTCTAGCTGACAACAGCACTGGCCTCCCGGGCCAGCCCAACAAGCAGGTGCTAGTGACAGCTGCCAAGCCTACTTTCTAGGTTGCTCCTCCTGAAGTCACCCCCTCGTCCAACCAGCATCTTAGAAAGGCCCTGTAAGCTGACCCAGGCAGGAGTTAACGGTGTTGGGCAGAGGTGCTCCGCAGACCAACTGCAGGCCGGGGTTCCCTCTGGCCCCAGGTCTGCCACTAAGAGCGGGTGTGGCCTTGGGCCATGCACGCCCACTCTGGGCCTTGGCTTCCTTGTCTGTAAAGGGCTGGGGGGAGGCCAGACTAAAAACCACGGTCTTTGGTGTTAGAAGCCTGACCATCATGGAGGCTCCATTACTTCCTAGGCTGTGGCCTTGGCGAGTACGCAGCTTCTCTGGGCCCCAGTGTCTGATCCGTAAAGGGGAACGAACATCTCCCTCAGAGGCCTTGGTGATGATTAATTGAACTGAAACATAAAAATCTCTAACCAGCCAGGCACAAGGTAGAGGTGCCACCCATTACAGGAATCAAACGCCTACCAAAGAGAACATGGAATTTTGGCTGAGGTCGCCGTCCAGGAGGTGCCATGGCTGAGCGCAAAGAGTGAATGTTGAATGCTGGGATCTTTGGCGTTACATCTGGTCAGTGGAGTGAGATTTGGGGAGAGACTACCCATGTCCCTTTCCCTGCCCCCATAGTCAAAAGCTGGCGGCAGGCTCAAGCAGGTCCATGCCTCCCAGAGCAGCTGTGAGGAGTCTTGGGCAGGTCCTCAGGGCTGTCACGTTAAAGTCTTTGGCCCCTGGGTCAAGCCTCCAAGGGTCACCTTGAGACCAGGAGAGCAAAATGCTGGCAGGTCTCCCAGGACAGCTGTGACAGACGCAAGAGCGTGTCAGGCCCCCAGATGGGGCGAGAAGTTCTGGGGTTGAGCACAGCCAAGGAGGAGAGGCCCACTGTGCATCCCAGCCTGAGGTGACAGACTCTACCCTGACCCCTGCTCCAGAACCCCTCCAACGGACAGGCCCTCCTGGCACTCTGGGACTTGGGAGTCTGACCCTCCAGGTGCCCAAAGTGCCAGGAGGGCTGCCTGGGTGGGGGTGCTCACTGCCCTCTCAGGGCCCAGAGGTTGCCCTGGCTCAACTGACCCTCCTCCCCATTCAAGGTGGTACTTGTGCGGTTGACGCACCGGCAGGAGGTTCTCAGAGCAGAGAGGCGCAGGGTCTGGGCAAGGAAGGGCAGTGAAGGCGGGGGTTACCTGCAGCTGGCGGGAAGCTTTGGCAGGCAGAGGCGGGGGAGAGGAGCGAGGGGAGCCTGCAGCAAGGCCAGTCCCCAGCCCGGCCATCAGCTCCTGGTACCACTGCTCTAAGTCTACCGCGGGGAGTAGCAGCTTCTCCATCTGGAGCAGGGCGTGGGGAGGGGCGGGGGAGGAGAGGGAGCAGGAAGGGCAAAGGTCAGGAAATGAGGGATAGACAAAGGGGCAGGAAGAAAAGGCAGATGAGGGAGGGTGGGAGGAAGGATCAGGAACACACGGGAACCGGGAGGGGCGGGGAGAGGGAAGGAAGGACAGGAGAAGGAGCGCATGAAGGAAGAGAAGAGAAAAACCGTGAGAAAACAGTTGCAGTGAATGGGCTGCAGAGCTCAAGAACACAGGCCACAACTCCCAGACCACAGACGCGGGCCACGCAGGCCACGCCAGCCGCGACGTCGCCAGCCAGCCAGAGCCTGCAGGCGCGGAGCACGCCCTGGGCTGGCCTAGAGCTGAGAAGCCGGGAACACAGGCAACACGCAGACAGAGCCGCCAGCAGCGGGCCGGGGCAGGAACACAGACCACCCACCTTGGGTGCAGGCGCGACAGAAGCGGAGGAGGAGGAGGAGGGCGGCACGGGAGGAAGGCGGGCGGCGGGAGCCAGGTCCCGGGAGGCCGTGGCCCACAGAGGCAGGCCTGACGCCGGGGCTGCAGGTGTGGGCGAGGTGCCCCACATTGCCTTTAGCTGCTCGAGGGTCACGTACTTGGGGGAAGCCGGGACAGAGAAGGGATACGAGAGGTTAATGGGACTGAACCCACAGAGCGCCCCGCCCACGGGCGAGGGAAGAGCAGAAGCACAGAACAGAGGCGGCCTGCAGAGCCCAGGAAAGCCAGTCCCTCGGTGGCGCCTCACCCTCATGCGAGAGCAGAAGGCCGGCCCCCTTCGAGAATTAGGAGCAGTAGACGGCTCCAGAGGCCCAGGGAAGAAGGCAGTCACTCTCAAATCCACTGATGCCAGCTGCCCTTCTCCCTCGCTGTTGAGACAGATGCTGCTGCCACCTCCCCACCCCCCGTCGCCCAGGCCTAAGGGGAAATCCAGGGCATCCACTTGGGCAGAAGGGGGCTCACTCGGTGGCTGGTACCTCACTGTCAGGCAAGGGCTGGGCGAGCACGCTGGGGGAAGCAGCAGAAGCCTGGGGGTCCAAGCGGGAGCACAGCTGGAGCACCTCTGCCAGGCTCACATACTCCTAGGGGACCCAGTGGGTGGGGAGGGATGGGCAGAGGTCAACAGGCTTCAACCAGGCACCTGACACTCATACTCCATGCCACGGGCCACCACTTCAATGCAAACTCCAGAGCAGAGGGGGGAGTCCAGCGGCCCACTGTGACTGTGGCAGCTGCGGACGGTGCGGAGGACGAGGAAACCACAGGCAGAACCGACTGTCTGAACTGAATGACCGACCTCCACTTTCAAGGCTGCCTTGGCAACCTGTCCCTGCCCCAGGCAGACCCTGAAGGCTCCTCCCTGGGGGGTGCCCTGGGCTAGGGGCAGACAGAAAAGCTTAGGGCCTTCCGAGAGCCCACCAAGGACCAGCACCAACTCCCAGAGAACCCTCTGTTTCCAACACCTCAGGCATCCCCACTAGGGCACACACATGCAGCATCAAGCACAGCCACACCGTTCTCAAGGGTCCCTTGAACTTCATCTGATGGGGCAGGAGCTAGAAGGGGCGGGGGCAGAGACACCACCGAGGTAGGAGCAACATGGGCTTTGAGAAAGACCTAAGCAGAGACACCTGCAAAGCCCAGGGAGAAAAAACAGGCCCGCTTCCCAGGGGTGAGGCCTCGGGAAGTTGTAAGGATACCTCGGTGTGGGCTGGGGGGACAGGGCCGAGCAGACTCCCTGAGCAAACCTTAGAACTCTGAGTTTATCTAGGTCTGGGGGGCATGGTAGGCATCCAAAGCACACACTTAGTCAAAGCACAGGATTCAAAACCTGCCCTCTCCAGGGGGGCCCATGCTGGCTTAACTCTGGAGACCTTACTCCAGGGATCACAGAAAAGGAAAAATGAGCCTGAGGGTCCAGCAGGCTAAGAACTGAGGAACAGCATGCAAGATCTATGCAAACCAATAATCGGATTTATTGGCTGCCCGGCCCATGTGGACCAGCAGGATGGCACCTCACTGAAGCTCTGGCAAAATCTGGCCCAAAGATTATTGTCACGTGCCCTCAGCTGGACCCTTGCAAAGAACTGTAGGTTGGGGATCAGCAAGCAGGCAGGAGGCAGTGGGCACACAGAGCAGGCATTTAGCTGTGATTACCTCTTGTGCTTTGGGGCAGCGCTGAGTGGAAGCAGGTGGGGTTGAGGGGACTGAGGCGGCGCCAGGCTGAGAAGACCCTGGAAATGGGCCCAGAGCCGCAGTCCCCAGCCTCACCTCTGAGGACTCGGAGATGAGCAGTTCAGCCTACAGAAAGCGTACGTAGTGAGGGGTCCCAGCCCTCACACTGAGCCACACCACCTCAACCCAGGCCTACATTGCTTGTGCAGTGAGGCAGGAGGGAAGGGAAAGAGCTCAGGAAACTGGGCATGTCCTGGTTAGACCTCACACACCAGGCACGTAAAACTCAGGAAAAAGCAGCGAAGGTGCCTCAGTACCTACTTCTGAATCACAAGCGCGGCTATAGACTGAAGCCAAAGGAGCTCCAGGATCAGTACCCCAAGATCCCTCTGCTCCCCCGTGAGTTTAGCTACCCAGCCCTGCCCCTTACCAAAGTTCTGAGCTTACCATCCACCTCCCCCATGCCTCCTGAATCCCCCGATGTATCCTGTCACCCCAAACGGTAAGACAAGTGAGCCCCTGGGAGCCGGAAGGGTAACTGAAAAAAAGCAACTGATGGCCACACCAGGCCCAACCCCAGGCCCCAGCCACTCCGACTCAGATCTCTCCAGTTCTGGAAAATGTCCCCATACTCAGCCTCAGTCACTGGAGTGAAGGTACCACATGTTGCTTCAGGACCTCTCAGGAGACCCCTTGGGACTGAAGCTTGGACTGGCCCAACCTCATTACCTCTTTGAGGGTGGATGTGGTCTTCGGGAAAGGCCTGCCTCCTGTGAGTGTATGGTATCTTCTTTCCAACACAGCCAGTTTCTCCTTCTCCTGTAAGTCCCAAGTGGCAGAATCTCAGAAAGGAGGGGAATGACAACAGGGGAGGTGACCAAGTGAAGGGGAACCCCACAGGCTAACAAATTCTTTCCTGACCTCTGTGCTCACCTCCCACTCCCCCTGGCCCACCCCCACCCCAGACTGGGGTTACCTTCTGCAGCAGTTGCAGGGAGGCATTCTTGTCCCGGGCCAGGCGCTCTGACTCTTGCACAGCTTGGGCCCGAATCTGTCCAGCCTGACTGTCCAGGACTGCCAGGCGCTCCTGGAGGAGAGGGTAGTTGGTAAGGCCCTGGATGACAGGGCTGAGCCCAAGGGGAGGCTCAGTTGTCTTTCCTGCCCAGAAATCCTGGGCGTGGTGAAGGGAATCAACCGGCTCTTCTGCTTGGCCTCAACTCACCCCAGGAAATCTCAGGCTGCTCTGGTCAGCCTCTTCCCTCGGCCCACCCGGGGCCAGTGACCCCTGTGTCATCAAAACCAGAATCCCCAAATCTCCTTTCTCCCAACCCTTCCTCCAGGTCAACATTCCCCAAATTCTGGAGCTAGTGAACAGTTCTTGACATGGCCACCCCCCACGCCACCCTTAGTGCCACCACCCAAATCCAAGCCCTCTGCTTGCCCATGTTGGACACTTTCGCCAACAACTCCACACTGCCACAGGATCTTCCTAAAATGGCCTTTGAGGGCTGTTTTGTTTGCTTGCTTATCTGAATTTTCTAAGCTTTCTTAAAAGTATATTGCCTAGGGCCTCCCTGGTGGTGCAGCGGTTGAGCGCTGGGTTGCGAAACTGCCCCACATCCTCTGCTGTGCAGGTTCAATCCCCGGCTGCTCCCCGGCCACCGGAGGAGGGTCCCGCATGGCGCGCAGACCTCTCCTGCCGCCCGCTGCTCCCCTCAGCAGTGTACTTCGGTCCTTCTACCTGCTCTGCTCCCCACTCTGGCTCTGGTGAATTCTCTCACCCTCCCGCGCTTCTAACTGTACCCAGTGCTTGTATAAATAAATAATTAATTAAATAAATCTTAAATAATAAAAATAAAAATTAATGCATTCTCTCTTAAAAAAAAAAAAGTATATTGCCTGGGCCTCCCCTGGTGGCGCAGTGGTTGAGTGCTGGGCTGCAAAGCTGCCCGTAGCCTCTGCAGCGCCAGTTCGATCCCCGGCCACCGGCGAAGGATAAATAAATCTTTAAAAAAAAAAATACATTGCCTGAACACATTTTTAAAAATCCACAAGTAAGGTCAGATCACTCTTCTCCCCCCAGTTGTCAGTGGTTCATTACTCATAGGATAAGCACGCACTTCTAAGCCGGCATTCAAGGGATCCCAAACTGGGTCTGTGCTGTCCAACGCCTCTCCCACTCCGAGCCCTCTGTGCTCTCTCAGTTGGTACAGAGAGCTCCCGGGCAGCACAGGCCTTCTTACACTACCCCCTGAGCCCAGCAGAGCTGCCCCTGTCATCATCAAAAGCTGACTTATACCCCCGAGACCAGACTGAAAGCCATCTCCTCTCCAGCAGTTTTCCTGATCACCACTCCATTTCCTTGCTCCTTCCTCTGCAGCACCACTTGGCTTGTATTATTACTTGAGAATCTATGTCTCGTCACCACCACTGCACCCAGGCTCTCTGATCCAAGGGCAGTGCGAGGTCTTTTGTGTCGCCACATCTCCAGGCTTAGCACAGTGCCTGGCTCAACAATCAGGTGCTAAAAAGAAATGAACAGTAAGTGAGAGAAAAGGATGGGCACTGGCTGGATTAATCCTAAGAGGGCTTCCTGAAGAGGTGATCTTAAATCATCACCCTTCAAGCACTACATTAGAGAAGAGTGAATGAAAAAGGTAGTTGTCTTTAATCTGGGGTCAGCCCAAGCAAAGGAAAAAGGCCAGGGAGTAATCCTCACAGCAAGAGCTGCAGTTGAGGGCCTCCCTGGTGGCATAGGGGTTAAAGTCTCAGCACTATCAAGCTATCAGCAGTGTGGCCTGAGTTCAATCCCCAGCCAGGGAGCTAACTCACAAAAGGTGCAGCAGACCCCTCCTGTCTTGCCTGCTGCTCCCCTCAGCAGTGTATTTCAGGAGATCTGCCTGTTCTGTTCCACACTCTGTCTCTGGTGCATCCTCTCATGCCCACACCACTGGCCTACACCCCAGTTCTTTTTTTTTAAGATTTATTTGTTTTTATACAAGAACCAGGGTACAGGCCAGAAGCACAGGAGGATGAAAGGATTCACCAGAGACAGAGCGGGGAACAGAACAGGCAGACTGACTGAAATACACTGCTGAGGGGAGCTGAGGGTGGCAGGAGAGGTCTGCATGCCATGTGGGACCCTCCCCGGCCAGGAGGGATCGAACCAGTGCTGCAGAGGCTGCGGACAGCTTCACAGCGTTGCACTCAACCACCTGCACCACCTGGGGAGGCCCTACACCCCAGTTCTTATATGCATAAATAAAAATAAATCTTTAAAAAAAGAAAAAGAGCTGCTGTTTACTGAGAACCTGTTAGGAGCCAGAAACTGCTAAACACTTTGCATTTGTTATCTCATTTAACTCCCTTATGAACCAGAGGCCTTTATGCCCATTTTACTGATAAGAACACTGACGTGTTTAGGAATGAAAGTGTCTTAACTACTAAGTAGAAAAGCTACATTAGAACCAGATCTGTGGGATTCCAACGCCAGCACTCTGAATCAGAGAGGAACGAATAAGGGGCACCGGCCACCACAGCAGATAGATCCTGGCGCGCGTGGGCCCTTGGGAGCCATGGGATGGAAGCTGCAAGGCTCATGAGAAGCAAAGGGAAGAATGTCACCCCAGGTCCCAGGGGCTGAGTTCCAGTTTCCTAGGCCTCCTCCCAACTCCCACAGGGACCGACCTCAAAGGGACAGCGTAGCTGACCTAAGGTTCCCTGCTGAATGTCTCTTGAAGGAAAGAGGAAGAGGCTTGAGAAGTGGCAGGCCTGCGCCCCAGTGCAGGCCAGTGGAGGCCAAGGAGGCCTGGGTTCCAATTCTGACTCTAAGTTTATATGCTGGTAGGTTTTATTATTTTTTTAAAAGATTTATTTATTGGGCCTCCCCAGTGGCGCAGCGGTTGAGCGCTGGGTTGCGAAGCTGCCCGCAGCCTCTGCAGCGCCGGCTCGATCCCCGGCTGCTCCCCGGCCACCGGAGGAGGGTCCCACATGGTGCGCAGACCTCTCCTGCCGCCCACTGTTCCCCTCAGCAGTGTACTTCGGTCCTTCTGCCTGCTCTGCTCTCCGCTCTGGCTCTGGTGGATTCTCTCACCCTCCCGCGCTTCTGACTGTACCCAGTGCTTGTATGTATAAATAAATAAATAAATCTTTAAAAAAAAAAAAAAAGTTAAAAGATTTATTTATTTATGCATACTAGAGCTGGGGTACACAGGCCAGAGATGCAGGGGGTGAGAGGATTCACCAGGGACATAGTGGGGAACAGAACAGGCAGACTGACTGGAATACACTGCTGAGGGGAGCAGCGGGCGAGACAGGAGAGGTCTGCCTCGCCATGAGGGTTGCTCCCTGGCCAGCCGGGGATCGAACTCATGCTGCAGAGGCTGCCGCTTGCTTCATAGTGCGGTGCTTAACCCCTTGCGCCACCAGAGATGCCCTACGCTGGTAGGTTTTAGACAAAGATGTAGCTCTGAGCCAGAGTTTACACATCTATAAAATGGGGGCAAGAGCATGGGCTTGTGTGGCCATCATAAGGACCATATGAGGTGGTCCAAGGAAGCCTCCTGGCACCGCCATGGGCTTGGGAAGCACCCGCTTTCTTCCTTCACAAGCCTCGTATCTGCAAGTGAGTACATCTGTAAGGCAGAGCAGCTCAGGGAGAGAAGCAAGGGCTCTAGGGTCAGGCAGGAGCTCTAGCAGGCCCCCACTACCAAACTCAGGGTGGCCCTCAAGCCCCCAACTCACCACTTTTTGACACCCCTCCCCCAATCTCGCTGCTGTCACCTCCCAACCACTCATGCCACCTGGGCAAACTGCATGCACCTGTGTCAGTCACTGTCACCCAGTATCAGTCAGGGTGAGAGCCACCTGGGCCACCCTCCCCAACATCTTCCTAACCCTTGCTTAACACAAGCCTCCTCCTCCTACACACACACACACACACCCGTCTCATCACCCTGCTCTGGACTGGCTGGGGTCCAGAACAGACAACCACAGCTTCTGGCACTCCAACGCTGGCCAGAATACAATCCCGTTGCTTCGTGGCTCAGCCAAGGCAGGGCTGAGCCAAGGCTGAAACCCAGCTGATGCCCTTTCTAGCACCCCTGGCTGGCTCTAATATCCAGATATCGGGTCTCTGGGTATGTCCCAGCACTTCCACAAGACAGAGAGCGCCACACGGACAGGAGCAAGCCCCCCTCTTCGGCTCCCTCCAGCTCCATCTTTCACTTCCCTGCCCAGCCAGTGCCCAGCTCCAAAGTGAGCCCAGCCCATTGCACCGGAAGACTGAGGGGAATGAATAAGGGCTTCACACACTAGCTGCTGTTTGCTGACTGCTACCTACGGTCACATCCTATGCTGTTTTCACATACATCACCTTGCTGGATTCTTACATTAGCCTGCTATTGCTTTTACTTTACAGTTGTGGAAACTGAGGTTCAGAAAGGTGACATAAACTGCAAGGAAGCCATCGGTTGGGAAATCAATCCCAGACCCTGAATCTGCTACTGAGCACCTGTTAGGGGGAAAAGGCGGTCCCAAAGCAAATTCCATACAGGCTTTGTGGACTCCACCCCCACCCCAGGTCAAAGCCAAAGACACTGGGAACTCCAAATCCCATCACCACCAAAGGGAAGGTGGCTGGGACCTGAGGGTGGGGTTAAGCAGCCAGGTGGATACAAAAGGCAGACACGTGGGCTTTGGGGGCGCTCTCCATTTTTGGGCTCTTGGCCAGCAGCAGCGTCCGGTCAGCTCTGAGAGTGACTTTGGGGTTTCCAGGTCGTCGGATCGGGTAGGACGCATTAAAGACTTTATTTCCCTATTTTCTCCCTGAGTTGTACATTTTCCTTATTTCCTTTCCTCTTGTAAATAAACCTTTTATTAACCCTTTTGTGTGTGTCTGTAGTAGAGTATTCATAAGTCCCTTTAAAGCGCGCGGGTGAGGACCCACAGCCAGGAACCCGTTTAATATCGGGGATGCTCTATAACACACCCAGGAGCACACCTTCCTCTTGGCGATGCTCCGCAGCAGCTCAGCCTTGCTTCTCAGCAGCCCCTGGCCAGCCAGCTCCCGCTCCTCCTCGGCGCGGCTCTCCTGCTCCAGCTGCTGGAACTCCAAGTCCTCAAAGAGTTTGGTCTCGGTTTCCAGGGCCTCTGCCTCCTGAATGACACGGACAAAGAAGGTTGAGGGATGCTCCGCTACCAGGCTGGGCCTAGAAGCTCAGACCATAGCCGTGTACTCTGGGGGTTGGACCCTGGGAAACTGGGAAGGGACCTGCCCCCATCCAACCCCCTTTCCTCTCTGCTTGGCTTTGCCCCTTTCATGGGCATCGCTGCCTGGAGTAGCAGAAAGGAGATGATCCCCCCAGTCCGTCCCTGTCCCCTCCAAGCCACAGCACCGACCCTGGTGTCCAGCAGGTGCTGCAGGGCCCAGGTGGTCCCGTCCCACCGCTCTCCTGTCTTCCTTCCGGGCGGGTGGCCCTCGGGCCGGGGAAGGGGGGCTGGTGAAACTGACCCTTCTCAGCTGCTCCTGTAACTGTTCCCGCACTGACTCGGGGCAGTTATCGAGCTGCGTCTGGAGCTCGGCGTAGAGCGCCTGGCGGGCCTCCAGGTGCCTCCGTCCCGCGGCCAGCTCCGCCCTCTCCTGGTCGGTGGGAGGGGGAGGGGAGGGCGGGGCACAGGGGAGAAACAGAACACACACTCCTCAACTCCGGCCCGGCGCACAGTGGCAGCGGCAGGGAGGGCAGGGGGGGTGGTGAGGGGCCGAGAGAGAGAGAAAAAAATAGGGATCGGGAATGGGGGTGAAGGAGAAGAGAGGAACAGACGAGGAATAAAAGAGGAGAATAGACAGGAGAGGAGAAGATGAGGGAGAGGTGACGCGTGGGGTGGGGAAGAGCCGAGGTGCAAGACAGGGCTGGGGCGCAGGGGATGGTGTGACACAGCAGGGGTGTGGGTCCAAGGTAGAAATTTTGGTCTCTTGGAGTCCCTTAAATTAGAAATGTTTGGGGAGGGCCTAGGAAAAGGCCCTCTGTTTTCTCTCCAAACCAGCCAAGGCCAAAGCAGGTTCCCCGCTGCAAACAAGAGCCTCTAGCGCCATTCCGCCCCCTCTTCCAGGGCCCAGAGACCAAAACTTAACCCTGGCAAAGAAGGGAGAGCTGGTGAGGGTTAAATTCAGGCATTGGGAGCTGAGGATGTTAATGCTGCAGCAGTGCAGTTCAGGTGACCCCAGCCCAGCCCCCTTGGCCTTCCTCCCTCGGCCCGGGGTGGGGGTGGGGTGCTGGCACTGCAGGCTGAACTTCAGCAGGATAAGGGTTGCAATTAGTTGGCCGTTGTCATGGTAATGGGAGCCCCAGGAGTGGGTAGAGAGAGGAGGTGGATGGTTCAGTCTGGGGCGAGATGACACCTCTGAGGGCTGGAAAGGGTATGAGGGGAGGAGTTGGTGAGTCACCCCTCCGAAGGACTGGCAGAGGAGAAACCATGATTACTGATTCCAAAGTCAGAGTGGGCCGGGGGCTGGGGGCTGGGGAGGGAAGCTCAGCAAACCCTCCCAGTGTCGCCACCACCGTCACCATCACCGCCACCACCACCGTTGCACATAACTGGGCCCAGAGAGAAGGCAAAGTCCAGCCCTCCAGGTAATGAGAAATGAGGTTAGGCAGGTTCCTTCAGAAAGGCTAAGTTCCTATGCCCAGCCCTGCACCCCCCACCCCTCCTCCCAAACTTCCTACTCCTGGAAAGGGAGCCCCATGCTTGGACTCAGCCTTTACATTCTGGAAGGCTCAGGGGCAGAAGTGGAAGAGAGGCACAGCCATTTCCACCACCCCTACCCCCCACCCCTTGGTGTGTCTGAGTTTGGGAAGCCCCAGGGGACAGCTAGAAAGGGCAGCCACTGTATGGCAGAGAGCTCTGCCCAAGCCCCCTCGCAGCCCACGCCACCACCACTGGAAATCCTTACCCCTCGGCCCCAGAGGGAAGGTTGGCAGACAGCCGAGGACAGCCTGCCTCCCCTTGCTGTGCAGGCATCAGCCTGAGGAGGCACCTGGGCTTCTCCAAATGGGAGGAGCCGATGAGGCTAAAGAAGCTCCTCACCCAGGCTTTCCTCCTAAACTTGTACCCCTCCTGCCAAAGCACCAGTAAGAAGTTGAGCTGTGCCCCTGCCCATTCCTTTTTGACCAAAATACTGGGGTCCCACACCAAGAAAGGAAGGAGGCAGCATTAAGGGGGAGAGACCAAGGGCACAGAGGTGCCCAAGGAGTTAGTGCAAGAACAGGCATGGTTCAGCCCTGCCTGGGTGGCACTGGTGGTTAGGGGCATGCGGCGAGTCCAGGACAGTGATTAGAAGGGGCGTTAGTGCATCCTGGTAGGTAAGCGTGGAGTTAATTTGGCACAGAATTTGGGAGTGTGGTTTTATGGGCCAGAGCCAAAGCTCAAAAAAAAAAAAAAAAAAAGGGGGGAAGGGGTTGTCGGAGAATTTACAAGAGCTTCAAAATTGAGGGGCAGGAGGAAGACACTCAAAAAATCCAGAAGAAAATTAATTCTTGGAAAAATACTGTCAAATCCAGAAATAGATGGCCCCTCCACTTCAGAGCTTTTGGCACGGTGTTGGGCATCGTGGGCGTGGCTGGCACTGCCCTTGTGGGATGGAGCAGCCCCTGCAGGCTGGCACGAAATCTGAAAGGGGCAGGGGCAGGAGCTGGGACCATCTGGGACGAGAAGCTGCAGATCCCGAAGACTCAGGAGAAGCAGAGCCCTGAGGGCCATCTCCCAAAGGCCATGACCTGAGCACCTGAGGCATGCTTGGAGGAAGACATTCTCCAGACCCACACCTGAATCGCTCCCCAGCACCAGTCTTTCAAGCTACGCTCACTGCCCAAGAAGAGGCATTGGCACTTCCAAGAAGAGCCATGGAGGCCTGGAATGGCAGGTTCCCAGGCACCCAGAGGTAGCACAGAGACCAGACAGAGAAGACCCCAGCCCCCAGCCCCTAGCAGTGCCCTCTTCCACAGAGGACAATGCCCTCTGCCCCTGAAGGGGCACAGAAACCACCTGGTTTGTAGGATGGGTGATGAGGTAAGGGGTAAGGGGCCCCAGGAAAGGCATTTCTCCTTCTCTCTCAGGCCACTGGGACCCACCAATGGACCAGGCTAGGTGTGGGTTACCTTGTCCCTCTCTTTCTGCATGCCTGTCTCCAAGGTCACCAGCTTCTCCTGCAGCTGGTCTGCTGCCTTCTGCTCCTTCTGCAGCAGCGTGCGCTCTGCCTCCCTCTCCCCCTGCAGCAGGGCCCGCTCCATTTCAGCCTGGGGGCAACACCAGGGTCCACATCAAGGCTAGATAAGGCAGTTGGATGCAGGCCCCTCTCTGGGGGCCTTTAATCTGCCTGAAGATGAGTCCAGTCGGGATCCTCATGGCTCACCTCTCGGGCCGACTCCTGTAGCTGCTGCTCCAGCTCCTTCACACGGACCTTGAGCTGCTCCACACGCCCCAGGACCTGAGCCCGCTCCTCTTCCAAGGCCAGCACCTCTCCCTGGAGCTTGGAGCTCGGTGTATCTTCATGCTAGGAGGGAGGAAAGACATCAGCTGGGGAAGCCCAGAGTCTTCTAAAATCAGATTATAAGAAAATGGTTCCCCATTCCTCAGGGCATTTGAAAGGGATAGCTGGGCTGACAGAGGAGCCAAATTCCCCAACCTGTAAGGGGAGTGATACAGACTCAGCTAAAAGAAATAAAGTGCCAGGCCCACGTGGGGCACATGGCAGGTCATAAAAGCATATTCATAGTTTGAGAAACTCCTCAACACTTCCTTCCCTACTTGCCTCACTTCTATGTATCTCATCCCTGATCTCGTCTCAGACTTGATCCTTCAATTCCTCCCCCTTCACTGGGCTTTGGCATCCACCACACCTGCTTCCTCTGCCTCCTAGCAGGGTCCCACCTTGGCCCCCTCACCCTGCCCATCTCCCTACATCCCACCTCCTGCTGGGTGCTCTCAGTGCTGCTGCATTCCTCCTTGAGATTCTCTTCATCTGAGCGTTCCAAGCTCTCCCACAGGCGTTGGGTGGCACCTCCAGGCTCCTCACTGCTCCGCCCAGAGGCCCCAATGGCCCCTGCAAGGCCTCGTGAGGGCCTCCGGCCTGTCAGGGCCAGTGCTGCAGTGGCCTCCCTAATACTGGGCAGCTCCCCAGCCTCGGGGCCCTCATCAGCCCGGATGTACTCCGCACACAGGCTCAGGATAGTCTCCAGGCGTTGGCGCTCCTGGGGAGAGTGGACAGAGTGGGGTATGAGGGGGAGGAGGCCAGGTCCTAATGGGGCTGGAGCCAGACACAGTGTCTTGTTAGGAGAGAAAACTAGGACAGTAGGGGCTCAGGGCCCAGACTCAGGTTAGCAGAGCCCCAACCCCAAGGTCTGAGGAGCCCAGAAGTGAGCAGGCTGCTGTGCTACCTGCTTCCTCCCATCTTCCTGTTTCCTTTCTCTTATTCTATCCCAGAATGGGCTTCCCCAGGGATGCACCCAGATACACTAGTAAGCACACTAAAGACCACAGTAAGACAGACACTCAGTCTCATCCAGATATAGTACACACAGACCTGCTGAAACGGGGACACACAGAGGGACCCCCACACACCAGCACAAGAACACAACACGTGCTCTGGGTATGCGTTAACAGGCAGGTACACAGAGACGCCGGCCCTGACATGCCAAACGCACACTCACCCAGATAAACACAGTCTAGCACACAGACAGGGGGCGCCGACATAGAGCTGGAAAGCAGACCCTGGGGTCCACAGGGACCTGACGCAGGTGCACACAAGATGTGCTCCGCATACATACACTAGTCAAACAGAACTGGCCCATGGTGCCTCAGCTCCACCTCAGCCCCAAGGGGCTCCTTCCCAGCAGAGTGGGCTGCTGTCAACATTGAATACCCAGACCCCAGAATGAGTGTTTTCAGGCCTTCCACTTAGTCTGAGCACTCCCCACATACTCAGATACCTCCAGGGGCTTAGGAGGTGAAGAAGAGAGGGTACACCCATGCTCCCAGTCTGTGTCTCCCTCTCCCACTCATAACCTCCCAGCAATGAAGGCTCCCCCAAGTTTCCATGGCTCTCCAGGGTCCCTAATCTCAGGTGTCTCTCATCAGTGTGGCCATGACCCCCCAGACACTTACCCAGCTTCCCTCCCGCTGCTTGCCTAGCTCCATGGCACAAATAACCAGAACAGAATCTCAGCACCCAGGAGGCAGGCCAAGGCCCCCACCTCTGCCCCAGGACCCAGATAAGCAGCCTGGGAGAGGTAGGAGGGGCAAGGCCAGCAGCCTCCAAGATTTAAAGTGGCAGGTGGGGCAGGTTAGGGGCTGGTGGTTAGGCTAGTGGGCGGGGGTGGGGAGGAGGGGCAGTAAGGAGGAGTTGGAGGAGGCTGGGCCCATCATGCCCCCTGTGCCAGGCTCCTGGCCCCCTCTCCAGGATGAGAGCCCAGGGTGGACCAAGCATTCTCATCTAGACCAAAGCAAAAACAGTAAAGAGAAGATGTAGCAACAGACAAGACGAGGGCCCCTGCCTCATCTCCCTCTTACCCAATACAAACATTGTCCCACAACTTCACTCACCCAAAGCTATCCCAACCTCTCCTGAAAGGCCATCCAGACAAACCTCAGTTCTGGTTCTCCTCCTCAAACTAAACCCAGGGTCCCAGGCCCCCCAGGAGCCCATTCTTCTCACAAGGGGAAGAGGTCAGAATCCATTCTCCTGCATGCGTGCTCAAGTGTGTTTACACCAGCCAGATCCCCTGAGCTCCCTGTGCTATCTGGAGAATCCTGGCCCCCACCCAACATAGATGCCATCTCCAGAACAGCTGCCCAGAGCCACACCCGGCCCCCAAACACACTCCCCGAAACGCACGCACGCGCACACATGCACGCAACAACAGTCACACAGGCCGGCCCAGGTCAGCTAGCGGCTGCCCATCCTGTGCTCTCCGTCTTCCCTGCCACCCACATTCCCAGATAATTCTGCCTGGGCCAGAGCGAGCAACTCCCATCAATGTGTAGAGGCCAAAGAGAAGCAAGACAGACAGAAGAGGGTCTTTTCTCATGAACAAGCCTCAGATAGATGGAAAGTTAGGAGACTTGAATTCTCATTCCAGCTTTGCCAGCACTAGCCACATGACCCTGAACCAACCCAGTCCCCTCTCTGGGCTTCAGCCTTCTCATCATTAAGACCTGCTTCTACGGCCTCCCTTGGTGGCACAGCGGTTGAGCGCTGGGCTGCGAAGCTGCCTGCAGCCTCTACAGCGCCAGTTCGATCCCCGGCCACAGGCGAGGGTCCCACATGGCACGACAGACCTCTCCCGCCGAGCCCGCTGCTCCCCTCAGCAGTGTATTTTGTCAGTCTGCCTGTTCTGTTCCCCGCTCTGTCTCTGGTGAATTCTCTCACCCTCCAGCACTTCTGACTGTACCCAGTGCTTGTATAAATAAATAAATCTTTAAAAAAAAAAAAAAAAAGACCTGCTTCTCGTGGCCCAAGGACATTTATTCTGAAAGGCCATTCAGACAAACCTCAGTTCTGGTTCTCCCCCTTAAACTAAGCCCAGGGTCCCAGGACCCCTCCAGGAGCCCTATTCTACTCACAAGGGAAAGAGATCAGAATCCATTCTGGGGCCTGTGCATTTTCCTAAAGCTTCAGTATATTCAGGTCAATACCATTGACACTTAATGAATACATTAAAACTAATGCTGTGTTAGAGAATAAATGCAAAATTAGTATGAATTTAAAATAAAGGCTTAGGTGCCTCCCTGGTGGCCTAGGGGTTAAGTCTCAGTGCTATCACCGCTATGGCCCAAGCTCCATCCCCGGCCAGGGAGCTGACACACATGGCACAGCAGCCCTCTCCTGTCTCGCCCGCTGCTCCCCTCAGCAGTGTATGTCAGTAGATCCACCGGTTCTACTCCCCACTGTCTCTGGTGAACCCTCTCACCCCCCGCACCTCTGGCCTAGACCGCAGTCCTACACACAAATAAATAAAATCTTAAATAAATAAAACTTGAGAAAGTTCTCCTGGCCACGAGCGCCGAGGGAGTGGCCTCTCAGGTGTGTGCTGGAAGTAGGGAAGCGAGAGAAGCTGAGGGCCTGCCCGGGGGGCTCCCCACCCCACCCCTGGCCTGTCCACACCCTGGCAGAGACCCCGCCGTGGATGGTGGCCGCCTCCCTGGCATCAGCTCACCAGCCTCTCCATCTCCTGCTCCCGGAGCCGCTCCTGGCGCTGCCGCCGGTGGTACTCCAGGAGGTCGTCCTCATTGTCGCTGATCTCTGTGATGCTGTTTTTCCGCTCGCGAATGATGGGCACGCGCAGGTCCCCACTAGAGAGCTTCCTCTGAGCACGGGGGCTCTGGCGGGGGGAAGCCCCAGTCAGAGAGCCCAGACTATAGGCCGGGCTCAGCCTGCCACTGAAGCTGCCCTTGCGGGGGGCCAGAGAGTCCCCGAGCGTAGGAGAGGGACTGCGCGTCCTTCGGCCCCGTGCCCCCAGCGTCAGGGAGAAGTCCTCAGGTGAAGCCCCGTGGGCTGCCCAGCGCCGGGGGCGGGGGCTCTCAGTCACTTCCCTGGCCAGCTTGGGATCCGGGGTGGTCCGGGCAGGCATGGGGGAGAGTGCTCGCCGGGAGAGAGACGGGCTCAAGGGAGGGAGCTCCCGCATGCTGTCCAAGCCCCGCCGGCCTAGGCGGGGACTCTCGGGAGGCTGCAGGGGCCGCGTGGCTGACCCATCTGAAAATGTCCGGCCCACCAGCTGGCGTGAGGGGCTGGTCGTCAACACCCGCTCGGAGCCTGGCAGCTCGTGGAAAGGGCTGGGAGGGCGGTCCTGCAGTGCACCAAGCTTGTTTCGGGGAGCAGGGACCGGAGTCTGTAACTTAGGGCTACTAGGAATGCTGGTGGGTTGGCTGCGGGCACCAGAAGCTGGGTATTCACTGAGGCTGATGGCCACCACAGGGAGCTGCCCACCGAGTCGGGGACTCTCAGTGGCTCTGCGGGCCTCCGCCAGGACAGTGGCCGCAGGGCTGTCTGTCAGGAGACCCCGGAGGCCGGGGCTGGGAGGCCGCTCATGACCCCCCTTCCTGCCCAGTCGGGGGCTCTCAGAGGAGCGGGCACCGCTCGGTCGGGACTGTGGGGGCTGTATTGCCAGGTGGTAGCTGGAGGAACGAGCAGGTACCAGCGGGGGCATGGCAGGTGCTGGTTCCTGCCCGCTGGGTGAGTGGCTGGCACAGCTGCCACTGCTGGCCGGTGAGGAGAGTGGCGAGAAGGCTGGAGAGGTGTTCTCATAGCTGGAGCCCACAGACATGGCTCCAGGGCTGGTTGGGGGAGACAGCAGATAGCGCCCACCATTTGCGATCGGAGACAGTGGGGAGGTTGCAGCAGGCTTCTTGCCAGCAGCTCCAGGCTCCTCCAGCACCAGTGAGTCCATGATTTCCTGCAGGTCCTTCTCAATAGAGCTCACCAGGGAACTGTGGCTGGCACAGGCTGAGGGTCCCCGGGATGTAGACTGTAGGGTGTGGTTCCCATTCACCAAGCTTTCTGATTCTGCTGATGGGAAATGCAAAGAAGCCTTAGGCCCTGGTTGTCAACTTTGGGAGCGGCACATGCATGGGAGTGAGGGCACACTCCCACCTCCTGCTAGCAGAGTAGGGCTTCAGAGGCTTTGGAGAAGCCAGGAGATCAATGTTCTGGTGCCAGCTGTGCCAATGACATGCTGTTCAACCTTCCTCATGTCACTTGCCCTCAGTTTCCCTTTTTGAAAAGGGCAGGGGCTCTTCTGGCTCTAGCATTTTATGACTTAGGACAGAGTTGGTGACAATGCTAGGCACTTCTAGTTGTGGCCAAGTTACCCCAAGACTGCCTTGGTTTCTCCAGCCCCCTATACCTCTCTTTCAGGAAAGGCAGGTTGAGATTCTGCAGAGGGGGAGGGGGCGTGGAGTTAGCCAGAGGTTATAGGTGGTCCCTGCCTAATAGGACATTAGGGCCTCCCAACACAGCAGCCAAGACCTAGGAAAACCACGAAGCCTCCAGGCCTGGGCAAGGGATATGGGCTGCACCACCTTGTCTGAGCAGAGGCAAAGAAGGAGGCTAGCACAGAGGGTTAATTCCTGGAAGCCAGGCTGGTCAGCAACTCAATGAGCCCAGTAAGCCAAGCCAGCCAGCCAGAGCCTGCCTCTGCCCTGTCCGAGCCCTCATCTGCCAACTGAGAGTCACTAGACCCACTGCCCCAGGAAGTAGCTAGGATGGGGGAGGGTAAAGCTAATCAGGGAGTGGATTGGGAACCCAATCCTCTGAATCCCCAAGGTACTGAAAAGTCTGGTAGAGGAGTGGAGGAGCAGAAGGGAAAGCCCTTGCAAAAATTTGGGTGCAAAATTATGGAGACTGCATAGGACCACAGGGAGAGGGGCTGCCATGGATCCCTAGGACCCGATCGACCACCCACTTTTCCTCAGATTCCCATTTAGGTCACTAAGGCCACCTCCCTAGGTACCCGAGATACATGTCCACTTGTCCCAGTACAACAGCAGCCATCTGAATGTCAGTGCAAAGTCTGGGGTGGTAGGCCAGGTCCTCTGGCAGCCTCATGGTCTGCACTGCATGCCCTACACAGCTGGGATGAGAGAGGTTGTTCTGGCTCCCTGGGACAATCACCAACTCTCTGGGGATCAATAATTCACACATAAAGTGCAGCTGCTCCACTGAGTCATCAGCTGGCATGGCATGGCCTGGGGGTAGGGCAGGACCCATGGACATGCTTGCCAGAAGGTGGGTCCCACCAGAGTTTACAGTTTTACTTCCTTCTGCCCCCAAAGACCATCCTGAGGGTGAGGTTCCCTCATGGTGACACAGAGGGTCCCGGACACAAAAGTGGCATCTCTCAGGACAGTGGGACACAGGATGGCAGAGCCCTCCCTCCCCTGGGCACGTGATTCCCCAGTACTCTCCAAGCAGCCCTTCTTGGATCTCTCCCCGTGGCCAGACTGCCTGGCATTCTCCACCAGTGACCCAAGGCAGGTGGCAGCAAGCCCAGATCGTGGGTATTGTCCTGCTCTGACACTACAAGTGTGACTGGAGTGGGCAAAAAAAGACTGTCCAAGGAGTACCACCAATTCATTACCCTGCCCCAACTGGGGACCTACCAGGGCCAGGACTGTAGGGGGGCCCAGGGGCCCGGCCCCCTGCCGGAATCATGCTCTTCATCCACTTGGCTTCGGCCGGGTGGTTAAAGCGGAGGAAGGTGGACTGGCCCAGGCACAACATGCAGCCTGCGGAGAAAGCAGATAATACTTGGAGGGGCCGGCAACCCTCACCCGCAGCACTGGTTGGCGACCCAGGTTCGAAAGCGTCATTTGTAGCCATCCTCACAGTGCCTGCCCAGCCCGCACCTGCCTGGCCTGTTCTTGAGACAGCACCGCCAGGGCTCCAGGGCACACAGCAGAGTGGGAAGAGGGCTGGCTGCAGCGCGCCTAGATCTGATTCCCCAGCCCACTCCTCTTCTTACCAGCCGTGAGATCTTTGGGTGAAGTCACTACACCCGTTCTGAGCCTAGTGCTTGAGTTAGGAAAACAAGGACAATACCACTGACCTCGCGGAGTTAGTAAGAGAGCAGATGTGCAAGCCCCCCACACGTGGAGATCCTTCAGAGAAGACAGACACCCATGCCCCCCAAACTGTACCCATGATGCATGTATCTGCCCCTTGGGTGACAAGGTCAGTTTGAATGGCAATTTTTAGGATCACAAAAAAGCTGTGAAGGGAGGCAGGGGAAAACCATGCATTAGTTAGAAACCCCTGCAGGGCCCAGGATTTGTTTCCTGGCTCCCACTTCTTGTTGTGTGGTCTTAGTAGAGCCAGTTGCTCTTTCTAACACTAGGGTGTGAGCACCACCCTCTTTCTCTCTGACAAATCACCCTCTGGCCTGACATCTCCCTGCTCCTTAGTCTCCCCTGGAATCTAGCCATGCTTAGGCCACTGGGCCCAGCCAAGCACATTCCCAGGCAATAGACACAAGCCCAGTCCTGCCCAGGAAGTGAGTGCAGGGAGAGGGGAGGGCATAAGAGAGCCAGAAAATATAGCCAGGGGCACCAGGAGTGTGCACCGCAGCAGGCATGCCTGCAGGCGCCTGAGCCTGGCTGGCAGACCTCCGCCTCCCGGCCACACCTGGTGTTAGAGGGCTCCTGCAAGATGTTAAGTCGGAAGAGCCCTGGTGCTCTCTACCACCCACCTTTCCAACTGGTCTATGCTCCTGGCCCCTGGACCCAGTCTCCTGTCTGCCCAATCTGATGCCACTTGCTGCCCCAAGCTTCATGCCAACCTGAGCTAAGACTGGCAGGGAAGTCCGCATTCCTGGACGCTGAGGCAGTTCAACTCAGGCAAGTAGCAAGGGCAAGGGGCATCCCAGGCCACGTGGGTATCTTGGCAAGCTCCCCCAGAGAAGCTTAGGAGCCTGTTGCTGGGATCTAAGCGCTGCCGTGGGTGGGAGGTTAGCAGGCTGAGCAGCCCGTAGCAGATCACCACAGTGGACAAAGTCACCTACACTTCTTGGGCAGCGCAGCCCCTCCCAAGCAGGCGGGCACCAACTATTCTAAAGGTTGGTGGGTGGTTAAAAGAGGGGGGAGCCTTCCCTGCCAAGCTCCCAATCAGAGGAGCTGATCTCAGAGTAATCATAACTGGAATAAATAATCGCTAGCCACACCGTCCAGCTAATTACAACCACAGATGTTTCAGAAAGCTCTGTCCCAGCCCTGCCCCTCCTTTCGGCCATTTAACAACCTAATTAATGATGAGTTTGCAAGGTTTAGACAGACCCACTCAATCTCAGATTGATGGGGGTGGGGAGGGGTCAGGAGCCTGACCACACTGTCCATGCTGGGAAGAAGGTGGGAGTTGGTAGATTCCAGTCCAGCCATGCCAGGCCCACCCAAGGAGGCTGTGGGCACCTGGAGATGCTTTGCCCTAACTCCTATGATTGTGCATTCCCTGCCCCCTCCTCTGCCCCTCACCCACCTCCACACAGGGGTGTGGCCATGCTGCCTCTGGGCTATAAATAGGTGATGCCAGGCAGCAGAGCTGAATCTGTATTAATAGAGCGGGCAGGAGGGCAGCAGGACTGAGAGCAGCCCAGCTTCTGCCCAAATTAACTTTCTATTTGTACTCAGGGGCCCCAGGCATGGCCCTAACTCTGGTCCCTACCACCTCCAGGGGCCAGGCCAGCCTATTTCAGGGAAGAAACCTCCTCTCTGGCCAATTCTGCCCCACACCGCCAAAGGTCAGCTGCTCAGGAAATCCAGGAGCCTTCCCAACCACGCAAAGTGGTGGTCCATGCCCCCCATCCCCAAAGAACTCCGGGTCCAACTGTGGGCAGGTGGGTGGAGGCGCTACACATGGGGGTATGGAGGGCACAGGACAGGGTGGAGTCTCTCTCTGAGAGATGCAGAGGGGAACACCACACAAACATTCTCATAAGGCTCACACACACACACTCAGGAACATCCAGCTCACACAGACATAGGCAAACACGCCCACACTCACAAACCACAGTCTCTGCCCTGCTGGCTGCACAAGTAGAATGGACTGGCCAAGGCAGGCTGGACTGAGGGGAAAATGGGAGAAAGGGCTTTGGCGCTTCCCATCAGAGACCCTGCTGAGCCACAACACAGGTCCAGCCATCCCAACCAGGACCCCGAACCCCATCAGCAGGCAGGGAGTTCAGCCCCATGGAAGGGGGCTGCCCAGCGCTGAGGAGTGGCCCCTACCCCAGACCTCCCACTCAGAACTGCTCAGGGCACACAGACCATAGAGCCCCACAGCCTCAATCTTTCAAAGAGAGGCGGAGGACCCCTTTCCTGTGGGTGTCCTCCATCCCCCAGACGCCCCTCCCAGCCCCAGCCTCTCCAACCCGTCTGCCCGGGGCTGGGGCTGGCCCTGGGCTGAGGACTCACCGCCAAACCTGGACCTCCGGACCAATCGCCCCGGCTAGCTCGGGCTCTCTAGGTTCCTGGCCGGCCCCCCCACCTTTGAGGGGGCGGGCCGACCTCCCTCGCGCCGCTCCAGGCTCGCAGCAGCTAACAGCAAGGCAGCTTGGAGCCGCTGAAGCCAGGGGAGGGGCGGGCCGGCCAGCCTGGGCTGGGGGAAGGGAGCCAGGGAGGGAGGGACAAAGGAGAGGAGGAGGGGAAGAGGAAGTGATGGAGAAGAGAGGGGAGCTGGTTGGAGCCGCGGGGCGGGGCTGGAGGATGCAGGAGGGAGCAGCCTGGGGATTCCGAGCCAGGGCCAGGAGTAGAAGTGGGCCAAGGAGGAAAGGTTCGAGGGAGGCAAGGTGACAGCAGGGACAGTGAGAGGTAAACACTGAGGCCAGAGTGTGGAGAGACAGGCGTGAGGAGCAGCAGGGTCTGGTTGAGCGCCTTCTGTGGTAGGAAGTCACCAGAAGCCTGGGATGGAGCCAGCCCCGTTCCCTGGCTGACTGGCCACCTTGGGCCAGTCACACTCTCTGGCTTCCTTATCTACAGAATGAGGAGACTGGCCTCTATCACAGCAGAGGTTAAGCTCTGACATTCCACCTCTGGCCCTCTTGGCCCCTGTGACAAGGTCACTCCCAGGCTGGGAGCTCCGGCCAAGGCAGCGCTCTGTGCTATGTGAGCAACCCTGAGCCCAGCTGCTGTCTTCACCTTAACACCTCTGCTTCTGCCCCTTCTCTCCACACTCTCAGCAGCTCCCCCATCTCACCACCCAGCCCAGGCGGAGGCACTGCCCCTCCCAAGCCAACCCTACCCTCTCCCTTCTCCCGGACACAACCCCCAAATGTGCTAGTCCCAGCAGAGTTCTGTCACCTGAGTGAGGTTCCCTTTCCAACCAGGAGACACAGTGCCACTTGTCACTGGGACCCCAAGTCAGGCTGAGGCAAGTACCTACCACCCACTTTGGGCTCCCGAGAGCATCTCCTGTTCCTGGGACCTGGTCCCTGGATACCAGAAGTTCAAGGGACACTGTCTATTCTGTCAGATACACCCTAAAAACTCCCAGCTCACAGTCTCACACTCAGAGAGACACCAGCACTTGCCCAGTCACATGGTGGACAGACACCACTCCGTTGTGTACACTGAGTCACACAAACACCCTGGTTAAACATGCTCTGTCTCACACGCATTTATTCACACACACAACCCCCCCCACACACAAGCCCCACTGAGTTACACACTCACTCTGGCAGACTTCCTTTCACTTTGTCCCTGGAGAGACTCTGGAAGCAAGTCTACCTCCTTAGAGCTAATCAAATGATTTCCACACTTGCTAAACACCTACCCACAATGTCTGCCGTCCCACACAGCTGCTCACAGGCTCACACACATCCCTTTCCCCTTTCTGAAGGAGAAAGGAAGAGCCATATAGGGTCAAATGCAAAACAGGGGGAGGCTTTAAAAAAAAATCTCAGGAAGAGTGATTCATAGGTCTGGAAACTGTGATGGCCAGCTGGACAGATGCAGGCAGACACAGGATACCCACCAGTGAGACGCTGGGCAGAAGGCAGGCACAAAGACGTAAAAAGCTAGGAAACTTCACTTTCTCTCCTTCCTCGGAGCTCTTATTAGAGGAGATCTTTATTAGTCTCCTATCAGAGGAAGGTTGGAGGCTTCATTCCCATTTTAGAGAATAACTGGTAACTGGGTGAGAGAGGAAGAGAAGCAGAGTTCTGGAACCCAAAGGGAGGCCTTCGGATAACTCAGGAATCCTGGCTCCTCAGCATATTCCCAAAGCCTTCCCTGCGGCCTTCACACAAGCCCCTACCCAGCCGGTGAGGGGCTGGAGCTTCAGGAACGAAGGAGGAAGGAGACGTGGTGACTGGGCTGGCAGTGAATGGGGACCTACGGTCTAGACAGCCTGGGCCCTGAGCTGTGGCTTTCTGGATCCTCCCTGACTTTGTCTCCTCCCGGATCTTTCATGTGGTCTGGCACTGTGGTCTCAGGGTGGGGCAGCCCAGTCTCAGATTGAGATTCCTCCTCATTTTCTTAGTTCTATTCCCAGCTCCTCCTCTTGTCCTGTAGAGAAGGCAGCAGTATGGAATGTGCCAGGTTACCTGGGTATGGGGGTGGAATCGGGTCTTCCTGGCTTCCTCACTTCATGCTGCTATGGCCATAGTTCTTGTTAAAGGCAGGCATCTGCTTTTTGCCTGCCACCCCACACCCCAGCTCAGGCATATTCCTGCTGGAAGAGCCTGTCACTGCCATCTCTGCACATGACGTGTGCCTCTGCAAGTTGCCTATGGCTGGGCATAGTGCCCAGAATGATGCATCTAAGGCCCAGAGTAGGCGCCTTGTTATTTCTAGGGTAGCCTTCTGTTTGTTTTTTTGTTGTTTGTTGTTTGTTGTTTTGTTTTGTTTTTTCAAAAAGGAGGGTCCCTCTTACAACTCTGGATCAGGGTAATCAGACAGGGAAAATGATCCTCTTGTACATGTGCCCACAGAGAGGCATTTGGTCAGTGAGTTACTTTATACATAGGAGTACACACATGGTTACTTTGGCATGTCAGTCCTGAGTTCACCCCTGCCCCTACTTGAACACTCTGATCCATAAACACAAGCAAAGACACGAACACAGAGATACACAAGCCCGGAGTCACAAACACATCCGGTGATACATAAACACACTCCAGTTACACAGACACAGAGATAGCACATGCACCCCCAAGCTCCCCCCCCACCAGCCACCCAGTTTCCAGGGAAACGCACTCCCAAGAATGTCCGGAGTGGGGCCAGGCAGGGCTGGGCTTGGTGCCTTGCTCCAGAGATGAGACAAGGAAACCCTCAGCTCCTGGAGCCCAGGGGAGGGGGGTGCTCTGGAGAAGAACACCCGTTCCTTTGTGCTTCTGCCTACCCCTCCCCAGGCTGCCAAGCTTCGGAGACAGGCTAGCCCAGACAAGAAGGCTCTGGGGGTGGAAGGGGGAAAAAAAGGGAAGAGGGTTTAGGGTCAGAAGAGAGTGGGAGGGTACATACTTGGCAGGGTGGGGTTTTGGCTAAGAAGATTTGGGGGTCACTGGGGCCACAGGAAATGCCTAAGAACTCCATCTTGGCCCCAGACGCTCCCTCTTCTCAGGGAATGAAATGATACACTGGCAGCTTGGGCTAGAGAGGTCTACAGAGCACTGGCTCCTCCACCCTGCGCACAATACACAGGGTGTTTCCTGCTCATGTATGTGAGGGGTTCGCTCTGAGAATAAGGGCTGGGCTCCCTGTCCTCTTTGAACTCTGTTGCACCTCCCCTTATTGCTCTACTATCTCACTCCCATGTAGCCGAGTCTTGAGGAAGATATTCTCTCTGAGACTGAGGAGAGTCAGGAACCAGATGGAATCACAATCAAAGCTCCAATTTATGGGGATCCCTCCTCTTATCTGGTGTCACAGACCTTGAAGCCTGGAATACACAAGGACCTGTGTGTTTCCCTGAAGTCAGTTGATCACCCCATAACCTGAAGGGCAAGAAGAGTAGATCTTCTGGGTCAGCTGTAAGGTAGTAGCATTTAAAGAGACCCCCAAGGGGGGGCCTCCCTGGTGGCCTAGTAGTTAAGTCTCAGTGCTGTCACCAATACAGCCTGAATTCCATCCCCAGCCGGGGGAGCTGACCCACATGGCAGAGCAGACCTCTCCTATCTCGCCCACTGCTCTCCTCAGCAGTGTATTTCAGTGAATTCGCCTGTTCTGCTCCCCCAGTCTGTCTCTGGTGAGTCCTCTTACCCCCCACCTCTGGCCTACACCCCAGTTCTTACATGCATAAATAAATAAAAATAAATCTTAAAGAGACCCCAAAGGATGTGTACAGGAGATGAAAACCGTGGAGTGGGATTTATACTATGGAGGAATTTCAGGCCAATAAGAGATCAGAGTTCGCAGGAGAGTGTCAGGGTCTTCCAGCTTAGAGCCAAGCTTAGCCCAAAGCTTTGACCCTCTTGTTAGCCATACCTCTGCCTCTATTCCCTCAACCTGTTTTTCTCATCCCTTAAAGTGACAATTCATTACATAAACTGATGCCCAGAGCAAACACACCTGATCTGTCAAAGTGCCACTTGGGCCAACCTCTTACCTATTTGGTCACCATAGTAACTAGGGGCCTAGTTTTTAAAGCTACCTTATACAACAAAATGACCTTATGCAACAAAATGACCTGTTGCTTTGGGAAACAGCATGGTAACCATAGTCAAGACCCAAAAAGTGGGGCTTCCCTGGTTGCCCAGGGGTTAAGTATCAACGCTATCACCACTACAGCCTGAGTTCCAAGGAGCTGACCCACATGGCACAGCAGACCTCTCCTGTCTCACCTGCTGCTCCCCTCAGCAGTGTATTTCAGTAGCTCCACCTGTTCTGCTCCCCACTCTGTCTCTGGTGAATCCTCTCACCCCCCACACCTCTGGCCTACACCCTAGTTCTTCTATGCATAAATAAATCTGGAAAAAAAAAAAAAAGACCCAAAAAGCTGCTGTCAACAGTATTGTCACAGGAGCAGGCCTGGCCGCAGACATTGCCATCAGACTCTGCTATTGCCCCACCCCCATCAGGTATCTTCCTCCTCTCCCTGACTGCTACAGCTTTTCAGGAAAACTCCCTCTTGGCATCATGGAACACAGCCATTGTTCTCCTCACTGTTGCTGCAGCCGCTCTCCCCTAACAACCATTAATAACCACTACATCACTCCCCTTGTTAGCAAAAAAGCAGAACCTCTCTCCCCGTGGTGCAGCAGGTGGGATAGGGCTGAGAAAAAAAGCAGGTTTAAGACAAGTCTGGATGCTGGAGGGATTTAGGATGTTGTTGAGGCATACTGGAGGCACCTGAGTACCTAGTCCCCAGTATGACCATGCAGGCAGTTACCATGGTAACTGCCACAGCCGGCTTCCCCTGCACCTGTCACGCACAAGCTTTAAAAGAGACCCTCCCCCCACCCCCTTTTGGAGGTATCAAACCTTACCCTGAGTCAACCGGGTGGGCTGCCGGACAGGGAGCCCATCAACAGTGCAGGCATTGCCACAGGGGTAGAGGGTGAGTGTGCCTCGAAGGTTCTCGATGTAGCAGTGTTCGGGGGCCAGACCCGGACCCTGCAGCGAGATGTCCCTGGCCGCAGAGCCAATCACTGTCCTCCCTAAGGAGAGGAAACAAACTGAGTCAGAGAGATTGCCCAGGCTGAGGAGAGAGGGACAGAACCAAGAGGGCCATGTGGGCATAGACCACGACCTTCTGCTTCAGGGAGAGTCACTGGCCACCCCCAGAGGGTCCCTGAGCCCGGTTAAGACAGTGATAGACAAACTCTAGCCTGAGATGAGGAGGTGCAGAGGGCACAGTACATCTAGACTCCACAGACAGAGAAGGGGGCTTCTTTTCTACAGGCCTTCTCTCAGTCCCTTCAGCTTACCTCCCCCCAGTCATTTATCTCCTCAGTCCACCCCCCTTCTTATAAGTATCCCTCTCTTCTTTTTCTCTCCCTCCCTTCTGCCACCTGTAACCCTCACCATCCTTACTTCCCTCTCTCTCCAGGGAGCCTCTCCCCTCAACCTTCAGCAGGAACCACCCCTCCCCTGGCAGAGCCCCTGGGCCTGGTATTTGGAGAATGTGGGGAATGTAGTATCGCCTGGGCAACAAGTGCAGCCTGAGAGAAGAGGGGAGAGCAGAAGCTGCAAGGTGAAGGAGGCTGTGCCAGGGCCTTATCTTGGGAGTCTGCTCCCATTCCCATCTCTCCATTCTCCGCAGGCACCTTATCCCAAGCCAGCCACTGCCCCAGAGTGGGGGCCCCCTTTCTTCTTGGCCAGACTGGTTGCTAAGAGCTATGTGCTCTCCTGTTTCAGTGCGCTCCTCTTTGTTTCTAAGCTGATCTTTAATCCCAGTCATGGAGCCAGATTATCAACCAAAGAGGGCAGGCAGTCTGGAGAGAAAGGGAAAGCGGGGGATAGATGGCATGGTCTCTGATCTAGGAAAGGCAAACATTGTCAGCAGGGAGCAGAAGGGCCCCAACAATCAGCTGGACTCCAGGGCAGGGGTGTCTACAAGGATGGAGGGGCAGAGGGCAGGATGCCATTCCAGACTTACCTTCCTCCAGCGGCAGAAGGGTGATAGCCGTGCTGAGTCGCCCACTGCCCAAGCTCACCAGATGGGGTTTGTCCGTCTGCACTTTCAGCCCTTTGCCTGTCTCGATCAGGTCCAAGGGGCCTTTCTGCAGGTAGTGAGGGTGAGGGATGAGCATCATTAGAGACCCCAGGCTGACGCCTTACCACTGTCTTCCCGATGCACCAGCACTCTCTTCAGCCCTTGTTCCTCTCCAAAGGGTTCTGAGGGTGTCAAAAGGCTTAGCACAAAATCTTGCACAGAGCATTATTCCACTAAATTGTAATTAGAGCTGAATCTAGGCCACTAACTCGTCCCACTGGATTTATCTGCAGTCGTGGCTTAACTGCCCCTTTTGTCTATTAAGACAGGAATGAGGAGAAAGTAAGGGGAGCAGACCATGCTGAATAAGAGAAGGGGTACTGTAGAGGAGGACCAGTGGAGGCTAGTCGCTGTAGATTTGCCTGTGCGTAGCCACTTGGCCACAGCTGGCCCCTGTTAAGCAAAATTATAGGGCAGGGGCATGGACCAAGGGAGGGGGATAGCCCAGGGTCATGTGTAAAGTGATTCCTGACTTTCAAAGGGTATTTTCTAGGTGAACCAATTAACCTGATTCAGATAAAGACTTAGCTGTTAATAGGCTTGGGGCCTGGGGAAGGGCAGAGAGGAATGGCTGCTCTCACCATTGGGTGTCGAACACAGGTGTGTGGAGGAGCCAACCCACACCCACTAACAGCCCTCTCGCCTCCCCGCCTGACCCCACTCACCTGCACCATTGCTTGGGTCTTGCATCCAGGGCCTATCTGGTTCCTATTAAGAGTATTCATGGTCCTGGTGCTCCAGAGCTCCTGGGAACACAGCAGAAAGCAGGTGAGGTGGGGAGACCGAGACCGGGGTAGAAAAGGGAGAGGGGTAGGCTTTACAGAGGGTTCTCAGAGCAGAGCAGCACCAGGTGCCATCACTCCCCAGCATGCTCATGCTGGACAAAAAGTGGAGGCAGCACCGGAGCTCTGTGGGGAAAAGTAGTGCCATGTCTTCAGCCCCAGCACGGATACCACCCCATCCTGGCCCTTACCACCATAAGCACAAAAAGCCTTCCAGGGCCCAACCTGTATGTGGATGCTTGCCTCAGACACCCAGGTCTGAGGCCCTCAGGACATCCGGAGCCTTAAGCAGGGTGGGGAAAATCTACCTTAGTGGGAGAAGTGAATCAAGGGACCCCTCCAGGGATGCTGGTCTTCAGAGGGCCTTCAGCCCACTGCAGGGCAGAGCAGGAGCTCCCTCCCCCAGCCCTTCCCTGGCTTCTTTGTCTCTTTTCCCAGGTGTCTCAGTAGGATGTTTTCTTAAAGGAGACACAACAAGAAAACTCAACCTTTTCTGCTACCTCTATGAATCTCAACCCCTGCACCCTTGCTTCCCAAGAAAGCAAGCTCACCTGCACACTATTAGCAGAAAATTAAACAAAACAAAAAACAAAGAAACAAACAAAAAAGCCCTCAACGGTGACTAGTACTGGGAATATCGGGTTCTGGGGTTCTTAACCAGACTTGACACTGTAGGACGCTTTGGTCCTCAGAACCAAGGGTAAACTGTCCAGAGTCAGAACTTGAACTTTGTCTCTCCCAGACTCACATTTTTGGCACCTGAGAAATGTGAAGAAGGACCTTTGTGCACTACATCCCTTGGCCAATTTGCTAAAGAGAAATTTTTCCTCTCCTGTTGAAATGTTACTGGAGAAAACTGAGAAGAGTGTGGCTGAAGGGAGGGAAGGAGGCCCAGGAAGGCTGGGTTTCCCTCCACTTTCTCTTCCAGCCAACTACCAGGTGACCTGGAGAGGAAGTGGGGGGCTGGAGCCAGCATTCCAAGGAGTGTCTGGCCCTACCAGTGGGACCCAGAGGCCTCAGCCACAGACTTACTAATTTTACTCTCTCAGCTTCCACCCTTCCGGGCTTGAACTATATCATCTCCGTCACCATTTCCACCCAAGCTGGAGGAAGAGAGGCCGGAACAGAGCCTGGGACCCACCCCAAGTCCGCCTGGGAAGAGGGAAGGCAAAGGCATTAACCCATACCAGACACCGAAGCTAGCCTAGCAACTCCTCAGGAAGAATTTCCAGAGATAGAGATAGTAGTACTGCTTCTTTCCAGTCATGGAAACCCCTCAGCAGTCTCTGAGGGAAGAAAAGCAAAAGAGTGGGATGGGAATGGGGAATTAATTTATCTAAAAGGAATGACCAGGGCCTCCCCCGATGGCGCAGGCGGTTGAGCACTGGGCTGCAAAGCTGCCTCTCCTGCCGCCCACTGCTCCGTGGCCTCCCGGGCTGCTCCCCGGCCACCGGAGGAGGTTCCCACATGGCGCGCAGACCTCTCCTGCTGCCCGCTGCTCCCCTCAGCAGTGTGCTTCGGTCCTTCTGCCTGCTCTGCTCCCCGCTCTGGCTCTGGTGAATTCTCTCACCCTCCCACGCTTCTGACTGTACCCAGTGCATGTATAAACCAACCAAACAAACAAATAATAAATAAATAAAACATGCCTCTAGAAAATTAAAAAAAAAAAAAAAAGTCTCAGAGCTATCAAGCAATGGCCAGCCACTGCAACAAGAGTTCCATCCTGGCCAGGGAGCTGACCCACAAGGCGCAGCAGACCTCTTACTTATCTCGCCCACTGCTCCCCTCAGCAGTGTATTTCAGTGGATCTGCCTGTTCTGCTCCCACTCTGTCTCTGGTGAATCCTCCACCCTCACCCCTGCACCTCTGGCTGGTACCCCAGTTCTTGCATGCATAAATAAATCTTTTTTAAAAATAAAATGGGGCCTCCCGTGGTGGCGCAGTGGTGGAGCGCTGGGCTGCCTGCAGCCTCTGTAGCACCAGTTAGATCCCCGGCCACCAGCGAGGGTCCCACATGGTGCACAGACCTCTCCTGCCGCACCCGTACTTTATCAGTCTGCCTGTTCTGTTCCCCACTCTGGCTCTGGTGAATTCTCTCACCCTCCCGCGCTTCTGACTGTACCCAGTGCTTGTATAAATAAATAAATAAATAAATCTTTAAAAAAAATAAAATGAATGAGAAAAACAAGAAGGAAAGGTGAAGGAAAGGCACAGTCATTTAGTGGAAAGACTTTAGAATGCCATGCAAGAGCCTTAAATTCCAACTCAGAGTTTATTATTTATTAGCTGTGAGATCTTGGCCAAGTTACTTAACTTCTCTATCAAGTCATTCTCTGTAAAGCTGGAATAATGATTAAAAAAAGATCAGGGCCTCCCTGGTGGTGCGAGGCATTAATGTCAGCACTATGAAGCTATCTGCAGCCAACAAGGAGTTCAATTCCCAGCCAAGGAGCTACCCACATGGTGCAGCACAACTCTCCTGTCTCCCCTGTTGCTCCCCTCAGCAGCAATGTATTTCAGTCAATCTGCCTGTTCAGTGAATCCTTTCACCCCCCAACCCACCCCCGCACCACTGGCCTGTACCCCAGTTATTGTATGCATAAATAAATCTTAAAAAATATATAATGATAATAAAAGATCATGTGGATTACAGCTTGCCTGCACTAGTGGTGTAAAAGGGAATGAGTAAAAGGGCACAAAATTTCTTTTGGGGGGATGGTAGAAATGCTCTAAAACTAAATTGTGATGTTTGCACAGCTCTGTAAATGTACTAAAAATCACTGAAAAGTACATTTCAATTCAGTGAACTATAAGAGTATACACACTACACCTTAATAAAGCTGTTAGTTTTGTTTTTTGGGGTGTGTGTGTGATTATCTGGAGATTTAGGGTTACATTAAATGCCAGTTACTAGAATGAATTTTGTGACCTTGAATAAGTCACTTCACTTTTCTGGGCCTCTGTTTCTTCCCCTGTTAAATGTGTCGCTATGATGCTGTGAGGCGGGGCCGGGGGCGGATGGGTTCACTTGTTTACACCCAAGACTTTCCAGGGGCGATAGGCTGTAAAGGGATAAGGTTGATGGGGCTCGAGAGTCCTCAGAGGTGCGAGGAGAAGGGAACAGCTGATGGAGAGAGAGGGAGATATACGGAAAGAGGTGCAAGGGGAGAGGCCGAGAAGAAAAGACTCAGAGATCGGGGGTGGGGGTGGGGTGGGGGGTGGTGAGGTCGCGCCCCAGATCAGACACCTGACCCAGGTGCCGCGGGCGGCTCCCCGGACCCAGCAGCGCCGGCGCCGCGGCGCAGGGAGCCGCCACGTGGGGGCGCCCTCTCCCGCCCCCACCCCACCCCGGGGTCGCGACGGTCGCCCGCGCTGCGCCCGCGCTGCGCCCCCGGCCTCGGTCCGACGAGGCCACACACTGGCCGGGCAGTGATTACCCGCCCGGCCCGGCCCCGCCCAGCGCCCACTGCGGTGCGCGCGGGGCTCCCGAGGCGGCCCCGAGGGCTGCGCGCTCCGCCCGGGCTCTCGCCCTTTCGCAGCGCGGGCCCCGAGGCCCCAGCGGGCAGCGCCGGGCGGGGCGGGACTGGGGTTCCGGCCAGTGAGCCCCACCCGCCGGGCCCTGCGGCCTCCCCGCGCGGAGGGAAGCGCGGGCACCCGGGTCTCGCCCCGCCGTCCCCACAGCCGCCCCCAGCCCTGTCCGCGCGGCGGGGCGCCCCGAGTCTCCGCCGGGTCTCGGCCCCCAGCCAGGGTGGAGGGAGGCGCGGGAGGCGCCGGGAAGCTCTGGCCGCCGCGGGCCGTGGGGGTCCGGGCTTCCCAAGCCGGGATCGAGGCCCTGCCGGGCGCGCCGCTGCGGCCTCACCCGGGGTCCGGCGTCCGGCGGGGAGGGGGCACCTCTGGCGGCCGCCGCCGGGGCCCGCGCCGCGCACATCCGCCCTCGGGGAGCGCGGCCGCCGGAGGAAGGAGCCGGGAGGGAAGGAAACTGAGGCCGGGGCGGGCGGGCGGGGCGAGGCCCGGCCGGCAGGTGAGGGCGCCGCGGGGCGGGGGGCCCTGCAGAGAGGGGCTGAAGCCCGGGAGGGCTGGACGGACGGACGGACGGACGGAGAAGTGGAGGAGCCAGAGAAAGTGGGGGGATCGCAAAATTGAGGGGCGGCCTGGACAGAGAGGCAGAGATCGGGGGACAAGCAGATGGGGGAGCGAGGAGGGTCGGGCCCTCTGGGAAGGGCTGGCGCAGGGTGGAGGCCGCGGGGGCCCGGGGGCAGCGGAGGGGAGACCCCGTGGAGGGAACACGGGGAAATAACGGGAAAGAGGACGCAGGAACGGGCAGGCGCCCCGGAAGTGCTGAAGGAACCTGGGCCGTCCAAGCAGAGTGGGCCGCCGGGACCTGGGGGGAGAACCAGGAGACTGGGGTGAGGGTCGTGCGGGGTGACAGCTCCGCGGGCTGGGGGCAGAATAGGGTGAGAGTCGGGTGGGGCGAGGGCAGAGTGGGGTGAAGGCAGAGTGGGGTGAAGGTAGAGTGGGGTGAGGGCAGAGTGGGGTGAGGGCAGAGTGGGGTGAGGGCAGAGTGGGGTGAGGGCAGAGTGGGGTGAAGGTAGAGTGGGGCGAGGGCAGAGTGGGGTGAAGGCAGAGTGGGGTGAAGGCAGAGTGGGGTGAGGGCAGAGTGGGGCGAGGGCACAGTGGGGTGAAGGTAGAGTGGGGTGAAGGCAGAGTGGGGTGAGGGCAGAGGGGCGAGGGCAGAGTGGGGTGAGGGCAGAGGGGTGAGGGCAGAGTGGGGCGAGGGCAGAGGGGTGAAGCAGTGGGGTGAGGGCGCAGTGGGGCGGGGGTGCTGTGTGCAGAGGCAGAGGAGGCAGAGCGGGCGCGGGTCTGCGTGTGGGGCGCCCTGGCCGGCGCAGGTGGGACAAGGCCGCAGTGTGGGGCCCGCCCGCGGCCGGACAAGAGGCCTTTCTTCGGGAGAAGGGACGGCTTGTTTGTGCAGCGGGAATGGGGAGGCCCCACAAGCACCGCCCGCTCCCGCTCACCCCCACCACCCCGCAGCTGCTGGAGGGGGGCTGCGTGTGTGAGGGGTGCGCGTGTGAGGGGTGCGTGTGAGGGGTGCGAGTGAGGGGCTCTAGGGGGGCCTATCGCCGAGGGGGCTGCGTGAGTGAGGGGTGCCGGTGCGCGCGTGGCGACTGCATTTGCGGGGCCGAGCGCGCGGGGAGCGCGGCCTGGGGTGCGTGCGAGCGGGCTGGTGCGCGAGCTGCGCGCGGGCGCGTCGAGCTGGGGGGTGAGCGTCGGGGGCCGGGGGCGGGGGTGACCGCTGGGGCGGCGTCCGCTGAGTCAGCCTCCCCGCGGGCTGAGCTAACGGGTCCAGAATGCCGCCCCGCCCCGCGCCCCCGGCCCCCCGCGGGCCGCGCCGTCTCCCAGCCGCGCCCCCACTCGCGGCCGCCCGCCGGAAGCCGCCGCGGCCGAGGGGGTGACCCGCGCGGCGTCCCCGGCCCCCCCGACGGGCCCGCCCCCGCCCGCGGGTCGGGGAACTCCGCGCGGGCTCCGAACCCGGACGGCGCGGGCGTGGCCCGGCCTGGACTCGCTGCCCCCGCGCCCCACCCGGCCTCCGGACCCCTCGAGACGCGGGTCCTGGGGGAGGCCTCCCACCTCCTGGACGCACCCGGGGTCCCGGCAGGACCCCCACGCCTCGGAGCCAGCCCGGCCCCGCGGTCCCGAGGGCCCGGCCCCGGCGAGCC